ACGTTACCTACATGTGTCGATGTTATTTGTCGATAGCAGTACGTCTGATTTCATATTTTGGTACCGCCTGATGAACTTTTTGAATTTGACGACGCGCACCGGTCCGATTCCACGTTATTCCCTCGAATTCTCAAAATATATGGGTCATGAAGCGTTTCCGGAGAACCGTGGAACCCGGGAGTGTCGCTTGGACGTTACGAAATCAGCTGTGCGCCTGTCGCTGCTTGTTGTAGGTCGTGTCAGGACTCCTCCCGACCCCCCTTCTTCTCATTCCCTCTCATTCCATCTAATGGAAGAGGTAGCAGAGAAGAGGGGATATTTAAAGGTCGCTTCAACTGGAGATCAATACGAAACCTACATGCCTACCTTCCCTATCAGCCCAATGGGAATGCCCGAAATGATCTTTCTCTTTTAATCGTTCCACCCTATATAAAAATTCAACCATGGTAGAAAAGATGCTACTATAGAATCTCCATCTCTTTTACAGTGTCAGAACATCAACGGTTAGTGGAATGACACGCGGATAATAAAAAGGAAATTATTCAAAATCGTTGAAGAAGTTTGGTTAAGATGCGAGTCTGAAGTACACAGAGAGCATTATTGTCTCTTGTTATCTTGATGTGTGGGAAAAGGCGCTGAAGGAGCAAACTCTATAAGTGAATTTTTGTCAAGGTCAACTCTTTTATGGTTTCAAGGTCACCCGCATTTTTCATTTTAATTGATAAATATGTACTAATATATCGATTGCTAAGGTAATTTATGTGGGTTTGATATAAATACTCCTTTGGTGACTAGTATCAGCCACTAATGACCCATACGGCATTCACAAGTCTAATTATAACGTCGCCTTTTGCATGGAAATGCATTATCAATGTCATTCAATGGATAGACAAGTACGGAAATGTTTATCCGTAATTGATACGTTTGAAAATCGATCGGTTTCGAATAACGTGTATTGTGCTCGAGAAATAGAGAAGAAAACGCGTAATTGTTGGCGACGAAGCGAATGGAAAGTTTATGGTTTATCTAGCATGGAGTACAATCAACCATTGGACGTTGCTGTTAAAACAAAAATATGTGTATACATATATTAAACATTCCGTCGTTACAATGCACCATGGTCATCTGAATAATTATGTAACAGCCCGCTGGCACAAGGTGGCGAGTAAAATTACGTCAATGGCCGGGGGAAATTACTTTTCCACGCTGGGTCCGTTATTTTTATCCTGAGATCTGTTTTGTGTCGTTTTCTCGCCACTGTGGCTCAAAGTAAAGCACGCAAGGTATCTATTTTTTGAAGCGAATTTTGCAAGCGTCCGGTTCAAAGAGGAGTTGAACCCGATGTATTTAAATTACAAAATTAAATAACTTCCTATTCCCCTAGGTGACGAAGCCGTTTTTCAAGCGGGACTCCGCCTTCAGAATGAACCAGCGAGAAAACGAGCAGTTGGGCCGCAGATATGCCGCGTTAAATACCACAATAAACGCGTTAAATGAACGGTTTAACTGCTCATAGACCTACGATTTTATCGCGTGACTGGCACTGAATACAGCAAATATTTGTCGTCCAGTTTCACGGCGGAACTGCTATTGATCCAACTATTTTCGCAGTTTCGAACAACAAAACTATTAATCTCCCTCACGAACTTCAAACGCGAAAAGCACTCATATTCGCGCGTTGGCTAAGGGCAGTTTTCAATGCCAATGTCTCTTGACCGTCTTAACCAGTGTTCAGTAATTTCGACACGAGCAAATTCTGCGGCAGCCAGGTCGTTTATTTATTACATAATGTTGGCTGACAATTCCGCTTTGGTATACACTTATTTGCCGTGAAAACGATCGAACGCGCCAAGATTATTTCGCTGGCACCTCCAACGTGGGATACGTGTTACCACCTTGCACGTTTCCTTATCTTTCGTCACGTTTTATCTTTCTTCGCGATTAATCAATTTAGACATCTTTTCTTTTATTACTTACATGTGCTTCAAGTGTTAAGACAAATGATCTGTTGTTGAAATTACTGGTACATATTGTTTTAAGGGCGGAAATTATTTTTAAATTAATGTACGATCAAGATATATGTTTCTAAGTAATACTTATTTTATTTCATAATATGAATTGGTAAAGTTCGTTGAAAAAGAGCTTAAAAAGTGGACTATCTGTCTTGATGTTGATATAACTTATCGATGCGATTAAACTTGAAGGGAATATTTCAACGAAATCAAATTTTATCAGAATCGTGATTGTTTCCACGTAAAACATTCAATGTAAAAGGTCGTAACAAAGATTCTTACTAACATAGTGGCACCATAGCTGCCATAAATTTAACTTGAGGTATGAAATCTGTTCGTGACCTCTCCATGAACTCATTTGAATTACTGAAACCAAGTTGATATGTGGCCAATGAAATTAGTCAGTACGACAATTAAGTACGTCACTTGATAAATCCTGAACAAGATTCTCTGTAATTACTACAAGCTACTAATCAGTACTTGGATCACGTGTAACAAGAGCTTTTACTTGTCTTTATTTGCTGATCAACTTTGATTTTGAGAATACTGATAAGCAATTAATCATTGATACTTCACTTCGTGCATACTTGTTGGACATACTATAAAATTGAACTGTAAGATTTTATTTATGACAGAGAGTAAAATATCTTTCAGGTATGAACTATAAAATGTTGCATTTGAGAATTCAACGATGATGCGATGGAGAGATAAAAGTAAAGGGCGACCCGAGAATAACCGGATGCAGTCTATCCATTATTTCAAGAGACCCGATATCTCTTACGCAAAGCACAATTATCTAGCGGTTCAGCAGAGCTTAAATTTAGCGAGGAATTTCGCTAAGTCGTCGAGACCATAAAGACTGGAGGGCCCAGCCGTTGCTGGGACCGAAATACACGTCGAATACACCGACGCTGCTTGAATTGTTTTTCTTGTTGTCTTTTTATCTTGCTGTTTCGTTAAATCTTCTCGAAGTACAGTCGGGTGAAACAACTTCATCTTCTCTTGTTTGGAGAATTAGAAAGAATGCTGAAAGATTTAGAAAGTTTGTGGAGTAATTAGAGGATACTATGGTAATGATTGGAAACCTACATACATCATTTAGCATATTCAAACACCTAATGTTATTAAAGATGATCCAAGAAAAGGCGAAACTGTATTTTACCAATTGAAATTCAATTGACCTCTCATTACACCAGGATTAAAGTCTGAATATTTTATCGAAGAATACAATTTACAGCGAGATAAATATGTGGAGAACAATTGAAATAGCACGTCCAAAAACAATTATACATGCAACGTGAAATGTAACGATAGTAGACAGAGATAAACGAGCACTGTATTTTTATAATAAGCCGAGCTGCAATAGTTTAATGCATTCGTGTCGCAAGACACCGACTTGAGACATCGCTCCCTTGCTCGAGCATCGTGGTGGCCGTGAAATCAGCCACGCGGACCATTCTAAAATCGTGCCAGAATTTCTTGCCAAATTTAATTGGAACCTCTCTGTCTCCGCTGCCTACGTATGCACATTATACCGAGAATTTCTTCTCTTATATCGTGAACACTTGTTACGACTATTGTTCAGAAATTATAATTTTGAAGGAAAGGTTTCAGTTACGAAAGGTGCCAGTTACATAATTTGTTTGAGCGGTGGACAAATAAGAAAATTCCAATGAACAGTTTCGTACCAAAGATAAAAATGCAAGAAGTAAACTATTTAATTCCATATTTTACCTATCAGCGCCTCTCCTTCCAATGTAATTAACCAAATTTAATTTTTGCAGATGTTAGCTACACCTGCGAACTTTCTCCGCTTATCACCTGGTAATTTATCGTTCGATAAGAGTCGTGACAGCAAATAATTGCCGACTCTGGTTAAATATTCCTCGTGAAATATGGATCACCGAAGGTATTCAATTTCTCTTGCTACGATTGAAAATCGCTGCAGTAGTACAAACTAGCATGTAGAGTCGAAAATAAGCAATGTGCTCGAGACGTTGATTGATCATCATTTCTATCAAGCGTACGAGAAACGCGAACTTGAAGTTATGAAACCAGTAGGAAATTTCTTTTTCAAAGGCCAAGCTATTTTTGTACCCGTATAGAAAACTTCAGAACGAACCGGGATGTCTTCGAAAAATCGTTAAATGCGAACACGTGCAGTCACTTGGATTATGTAAGAAACTGCCTCACGTAAGAACTGCTAAACGATAACGATTTGTTAGTTTACAGAATGGTTATACGTTGCCAGACGAATTGTTAGCAAGTTGAAGGTGCACTACCTTTTGGATTCAATCGCTCGTCTTAAAAATTTAACTCCGATCACTTTTGATATCGTACGATTCTTTAATCGGCAGTCATTTGGAGCACAGAACATTTGATATCTGTAATTGGAATATTCCGTTTCAGATAAGTAAGAATTTTCTAAATAAGGGAGAGAAAGTTTTACGATTTTAGGTGGATGAAGTATCTGAGTGATTCATCAAACTTCTCAATACTCAGAATAGATGGGTTCTGAAGTGGCATTAAAAATTGATGTTTGCTTTAAAAAGATTTTAAGGCCGTTTACATTTCCTGGTACGTGGTCGTACGTGGCTCAAAATAATCAGCTCAAATGACTTTACCGCAAGCGGTTGATGCTTTACTCTGCAGATGTTTCGTAAAAAAGAGCTGTTGTTAGATCTTTTATATCGTGTCTGCTATAATACAGGGAAATTGTAGGCAATAATCAATGCAACAGTAATTTTACTGTCTTTGATTTATTAATTTATATCCCAAGTTCTCACATTTACAAATTGTCCAATCTTCCAAATTGCTAAAGTTCTAAATTTGTGGTAGCAGTATAAGACTCAACAGTACCCGAACTTAATTCGAAGCCATTGAAATCTTGATTTATCTTGCTTATTTTACCGCGTTAATTAATACATAAATTTATTATGGCCTTCTGTACTGCTCTTTTGGCTTGCTCCGCCAAAAGCGTGTCCTCACGTTCGGTCTGAATTTACAGAGTCTCCTTCACTTTCGATCTTCAGCCTCAGGTGTTTATGCACATTTAATTATGCTCGGCCAAGCTTTTTGGTGGGCACCAGTCTCGTCACCACGCGATACACAGTACGCGGTAATAGCTAGGGAAACTATGCAGTCTATTTTCGAGCTTGAGGATTCGCTGTTGTCGGGCGAACCACGGGGTCTTCCTCTCTTTGCATGCAAAGAAAGGTCTTTTGCTAGAATACCAACTGTTTTCCTTTCCCGACCGCAGAAAGGTTTTAAGTGTATTTTTAGAAGCGGTTCCACGATTCAAATTTTACTAATCCTCCTCTTTTTCGTTATTTTTCAGGGAGATGCTTAATTTTCTGCCACCTCTTTATGGGCTTAAAATAGAAGCTTAAATAATTTGATATAATGCCTAACTCTGTGGGTGACTTCTTAATTTATAACATCTGTGAATTTAATTTACTTTCTCTACATTGTTCCTTCTTTCATTTCAGAAATATGAGGAGTACACATTTTTAAAGGATCATTGATTATTCTGAGAGTGATGTTACAGGAATTGAATTGAATCTGTAAAAATTAAATGGAAATATTTGTATGATATTGTGTGAAGAAGACAATATATTACAAGGTATAATTTGCAGATTCTTGCACGAGGAAGATAAGTTTTAGCAGGGTCTGTAGGGCGAGTCTCTCCCTCGTTGCAGGATACATTTTATTGCTTTTATTCTGTTATGCCATATGTACTAGCTGCATTCTATTTCTCCTGCTTCAGCTAATTTCATCGGTGCTTGGTGGAGGGATCTCGCGAATGTTTGTCGACGACTGACTGAGATATTTTGAGACAGTTGCTTGTCGACAATATTTAATAGTCTGCAATATGTCACGCGATTTATATGTACATATAAATTAAATACAAATTTGTAATAAGCAGAAAACACAAACATTCCGTAATCTGAAAACGAAATTACTGTGAGAATTATTAATAGAACTTGGATTTAATGTAGAATTGAAAGATTGGAAAGAATTCAATTCATTTTAAATAATAATTAATGTGATAGTTTCAGCCAATTTTGTGTCTCTAATTACTTTGTAGTTCTCATTGAAATTTTGGCGACAGGTTGATATTTAAATGTTAAACACTTGGAAATAATTTATGACTTTGTACATTAATAATAATACTTATAAAATTTTTGTGTTGCAGGGGTTTAAAAGACCAGTTACCATCTTCGTGTCGTACTCTACTGTATCGACTGAATTTCACCACAGCGCTGTCAGTAGCGGGAATTAAAAATTCAAAATACTTTCTATGCTCAGAAGAAAACTTTCCCTCTTACAGAAAGAAGGAATACTCATTTTTATTTAAAGATAGCTTACTTTGCTTATGGCAAGTGTATTATGAAATATAGTATTAATTAATTATATGTTTCATAAGTATACAATATGCAACTTGTTAAAGAAGAGTCTAAGAAAGGAATGTAATATCAACATGAAATTGTATTGGATGTAAGATTGTACAAAATTATTTTGTTACATGTGAATGGACATGTCAATATAAATATCTAAAATGTATGTTATATGTGGTCATCGACAGATGTCTCCACCAATCCATATAAGCATCTAACGTTGATAATACAGAACACTTCACAATGCGAATACAAAAATAGCAACTATAAAATCTTCAGAATGAAATTCTTACACAGCACGAATATAAAAAAGGGTCATTTTGTCAAACAAAAAATATTGTAACAGCTATCATTACAATTCTCATAGAATTTAATGAACATTTTGTAAGTCATGAAACGCAGAAGAGCGTTATTGTAAAGAAATGGGACAAGAGGATCCTAAAGCAGAGGGACTATTGTGAGTCTGTGAAAATTCCACGGATATCGTTCCCTCCTTCAAATCGAATTGACAATTAAGTATTTAGGGTTGCTGCGGGTCGCGTGTCAGGAAGAGTCATCTTCGCCAGCATGATTGTACGTAAAAACATATGGCTTCTGTATGGTGTCTGGAGTGGGGGTCCTCGAAGACACTCAACCGTATAATTTTTGCGCGACTATTTCTCTTTTAACATTTATTCAATAACACATTATTACAAATTTACCTTAAAATACAGTATGAATATTCATAAAAAAGTCAATACAAAATAATAATGAGAAATTAAAATTTTCTTAGGTGACGAGAAGATGAATTACAATAAATAAATGTATTACATACATTTAGTATCAAATACACTTTGCACGTACATGTGTGGTGGTGTTCAGAGGTGGATGCAAGAAGAATTATATGGTAAAATAAAATTCTTATTTGCTAAATTGTAATAACTGCATTCCTTTTCATTCGCTTCTTTTTGAAAACGATTTTAGGGGAGATTAACCGTTCATCAATACACGTATGCCACAATTCTGGCGATATATGGGCGCAGTTCGGTCTTTCCCCGGAACACATAGAATTCTGTGTAATCAGATCTAAAGACGTCCCACGTAAATTCCCACCCGCAGTCATGTTATATTATATACGTGGATAATCTTATGCGGGATGATAGACTGAGTTTTTACCTCTCACCCTCTGTATCATTGAACTCTATGAGAAACTGAATTTCTCGTTCTCACGAAACATGGGGGTATAGGTCCTCTAATTGGCCGTCAATGTACTTCGAGTACGAATTTCTGTGGAATATTTGCTTCGCGTGAGAATCCGATAAAAGTATCACACAAGTATATTTTTGTTTAGGAAAAATGAAGCTGGTGGTACATTTTTTATTTTACTACAGGTAGAAAGATATATTTTTACAATAAATACACGAGAATGATCTGAAGGATGTTATAATAATAAGGAAATAACTGGAGGAAAAAGAAGTATAAATTAATGTATCATTACGAGAAACACCCTGTACGCGAATAGAGGACACGATGGCGACGGATGTGACAACGTTAGGTTAATAAGGATGCAACGTCATCGGGTTGCGACGTTACATTTTCTCCTTTGAATCACGATCTCCAAGACCATGATTAAAAATCAGCTTAATTACCGTTTTCATTAAATGTTCACGACGTTTTCATGAAGACAAAATCTCAACAACCACTGTACTAGATTCCCCATAATATTCAAAACAACTTAAATCTTTGAAATTTTTAATTTGACATATCTTTAAAATTCAATCCATAAATTTTCAAACCTAATCTACTTTGCTCCACAGGATTCGCTCATGGGACTACACCTGTTGCATCCCTGAAAGGAATATCCAGCACAATTGAAAGAATCCACCTTTTCCAGAGGCGAATAAACTCAGGTAGAATGCACCCTGTGCAATATAGACCGCTTGAAAGGTTTTTGACGGCAAGTCGCAGATCGGCTACCAGTATATTTCCTCCGAAAATGTAACAGTAAATCTTCGGCGTCACCCATCTTCCTACGCTTTGATGCGTGAAATGTACCAGCATGATATAAAATGACTAATACCGATGATACAAGTCTCTCGTCGTACATCGACTGCTGGGACATTGCTGCCGTTTCTATGAGGGTGGAAAAGGAAAAAAATGCTTTATTGTGATATCTTGATCGAGAATGTCGCGGTGGTCATGTGGGCACGTTAATTTGTAGACCTCACCGTCATAATTGCGTTCAGGCAACGCTTCTGATACCGTCGTTACAATTCATTTCTTTTGGATACTTTCAATGAAAATTCACATTGATTCCACAATTTTTTAATTAATAGATTGAACGAATTAGTTACTAAGTTACTTTCAGTAAGAAAATGAATTGAATTGTTACCATATGTGCATCGTAAGTGACATTTTAGGGTACTTTTGTATATACCAAATTGTGTCAGACTTTATATACTTCCAAATGTAGCTGCTGATCATTTTATATCATGAACATCGATAAGACGTTAATATAATCATTAAATATTAGACATCATAACCTCAAGAATTAATATGATATACCACATGTGCTATTTTGTAATGCTTTCCAAAGATTACAGAGGTAATCCGCAAATTGCTCACTGATCTATACAGATACATCAATCAGTTGTTTCCTATTAGAAGCATGTGCCTAATTTTTGTAAAGTATTAAGCTTCAAATTTATAATGCAATTACGTTGCTTAAAACAAATATGAGAAAGATTTCAAATTGTTCTGAGCAACGTATCTTACAACGTATGTTATAAGATTCTGACATTATTTTACGTTTCCAGAGACAGATGCGTGGACTGTACCCCGGAGGAAGTCCTGAGAATGCGTTCACCGGCGATATCTGCGCGAAGAGAGAAACGTAACGTGAGTATAGCCGGCGAATAGCGGAGGTTCCCCGTCGCCTTCGCGCAATTACGTCCAATTGAACTAATTCAGTCCAATTGACGTTAACAGGCTCAATTGGTCGGTCCTGCTAGTGTTCACTGGGGCCACCACGGCAATACTATCCGGTCGGCGCATACCTACGACGTAAAAAAGCGGCTCGCGTGCAAAAAGAAAAATACTCTGAACGTCCTGTCCAATCTAAATATACACTTCTCTGGATGAACCGCTATTTCCCTTTGTCTGTCGAGCTCTTCTTTCTTCAAGTTTTTAATCGTGCCCATTGACAATACCGCCAGTGTCGGCAAACTACCCGAGGCGCTTTTCAACTCCAAAAATGTTAACTTTTCAGATTTTCAAGTTGTTACACTTTCTAATTAAAAAATTTTTCAATTTTCAAATATTCAAACCTGCACTTTTTAAACATAAAAGTTTAGAAATTTAGAAATGTAAGAAGTGGAGATTTGAAAATTGAGAGACATAGAAATATCGAACTTTATAATTATCAATTTTTTAACTTCAGAAAAGAGGTTTTTTTTAAACATTAAGCTTCTAAACATTCAAAATTGTAACATTGAAATAATTGATCTCAATTCATCCATGATGCAAACCCATGGGAATTTAGGACAATTAGTTGAAGAGTAACAAATATTTGTTGTATATGTTTTAGAGTAGATTTTGTTGCAGTAAAATTGAAGTTTACAATTATTTTTCAGATGCAGGAATGTAAACAAAAGTCTGTCTATAAGGAAAAACGATATAAATGGATTTACAGCGTAGTTGTACATTGTTGAAGGACAAATATGGTCGGAAGGGGAAGAGGTGGAGCCCAGAAACTCCTTCTGTTCTGCTGGTGGACGTAGTGGGAGCAGAGCGTATCGTATCCATTCCGTTCTTATCGTTCCTCCGGGACTTTCCCCCTCCTGTTCCCCACGAACAAGTAGTGGGAGATAATTATTCTGTTTTCTCTCCCCCCACATTTCATACTTCAACTTTGTCACCAAACGATTCTGTCATGCGTTGGATAACTTCTGTTTGCAAAATACTTTCATATTTTATAATCAAATTCAAAACATTTTATAATCCAAGCCTATCATATATTCAGATAATTTTGTTTGTAAAATAGCTATACAATATTTTATGATGATCACTTGTTTTCAGACGGAAGATTGTATTAAGGACTCTTGAAAGATTTACATTTATTTTCCGAGTTACATGAAATTAATCTCATATATGTATAGGTAATTATAACACAAACACTTTGAGCTGAAACGTTCTGTTCACTCAACGACAGAAAGAAGATAAAACTTTCTAACAGGCATTTCTTTTTCCATGACAGCATCGAAAGACAAAACCAGGATTTCGAATCTGCCGCGCAAGCTGTCACTTTCACCAAGCACGTGTTTCCTGTTGCACACTCGTCACCAGAACTGCTCGGCCAGAATCGGCCGACATCGTCCCGTTCGAAACTACTCCACTTCCCGAACAACGTCTTCGTTCTTCCTCGAACAGGAACCTAAAGACGCTCTCCCGTGCGTGGGACACTCTGCCGAGGGTGTGGAACACGGAAGCACGAGAAAAAGGGGTCGAAAAAGAAAGTCGTCCAGAGGGTCAGTGCAGGAGGCGACCCGTTACTGCAGCCCGGCACCACCGGACCTTCACTTATATCGTCTCTCGGCTAATAACGCTAGTAATGTGATATGATTAGCTTAGTTGAGTTCAGTTTAGTTCGTATTCGTTCAATTTAGTGGTTCGCCAGCAAAATCACATCGAGTTAAACCCATTTAGGCCAGTTAAGTTACCGACTTCTCGCTCTTGCGCTCACCGTCATCCTCTCGGCCTGGCCGCCTCCTGTATCCGCAGATATCCTGCGGATCTAAACGCCTTCACCCGCATCCACTTCCAATTTAATTGGGAGGTCTGCTAGTGTTCCTAAAACTGTCAACGTTTCATGCTAGGTCACTGTTGGCAGGGTTCGATCACTTCATAGTATGATTCACGGAGAGAGTCTACCCCGAAGTGTCTAACTTCATGAGTGGAATCATTCTTAGGCTTTGATGTAAACTTTCTATAGGTATATTTGAAGAGGACAGTTTAGCTGATGAGATGATGAAGAATGCCAAATGCAATACACTGATTTAGTGTAAGATCAAATGTAAAGATACTGCAAAATATTGAGTAGCTTGAATTACTCTATAAATTATGCAAAAGGTATGAACTTCATTATAAGTAAAATGACTCTATATACTTGTGTTTAAAAATGAACTTTTTGTAGGTGCAATATCAAACTGAATTTCATAAACAGCATACACTGCCTAAATGTTGAAGGATGTATAAGCGGAGTCAGACTTTCATGGAGATTTAACTATAAGTGAAAAGTTATAAGGTAAATGAGGTTCTTAGTCCTCCAATTTTAGTAGCATCGCATATTGCATTTTACTTCAATTGAAGCATAGTCTCATTACCTCTTACTTTAATCTCCCCAATGAAGATTAAAGTAAGTATATCCCCAACAGTATATGAGCTGTCCCTAATTAAACCTTTCTTCTGCAGACCACAATACCGAAGATACCAATGTTGAAGGAATCCTACAAGCAGTCCTCGGTAAGAGATTCGCCTGTAAACGAATCCATTAATGAGCATCGTAACGAGTAGTAAGGCCGCGAGAAGCTGTTGGGCCCACGACGATTGGTTCCATCGGGAGAACGGAAAACGCGTGTCTAAGAGGGGAGGAAGGAAAGAGTCCGCGAGAGTGCAATTAAATCAGCGCGTGAGAGGCGCGCGCGCGCGCTAATTACCGCCGATGAAATTAGCAGTTAATATACGCGTGTACACACGGAATGGGGGTAGTTTGATTGGGCCAATTCGAGGCAATTCCTGGCGATTGCTGGTTTCATTGAGCCTGCGCTTAAGAGCCTCAGTGCCACGCTGCCGGTCAACGGACATGGATCTCTTGGAAAGTATAGGTACTCTTACCTTTCTCGTACTTCCTATCGATCCTTGTCCGTGGATCCACCGCGTTTCCGATCGATTTCGCGACCTGTCTCCTCGCGATACGGGTTGAAGTTCGAATGTCGTCGACGTTACGAGCACCGAGACGGAGGCTGCTCTATGGTGTAATTGTATCGAAGAACGAAATATCTCATGGAGAACGGTGTAACATTATGGGACGAACGGTGATGCAAACGTCCATTATCGCGGAACGTACTGGGATCTCGCGTCGTTTGATCGAGGTTCAAGGTTTCGGTTCAAGGACTTCTGGAAACGTTCCTAACACGAGTCACGAACGGCTAGGAAAGTTGAAGTTCGGTGGATTTTGAGTGGCAGTGCAAAATTAAACGTTCACGCTTGATCGTGGATACACTGAAATCGAGCAAGATGGAGTGAGTGATTCTAAGAATTCTGTTGATATTATATGTCTAGTAGAATTATTCTTATTCACCTCCATTTTGTTCTGTCGAATCAAGGAAACATACTCAGCTTCATCTATCACAGATTAAGTATAAAAAAAGAAAAGTAGTTCATGTTGAGAATGACGTAAAAAGAGCGCATATAATAAAAATAGCGATGACGAATCGTCTAAATTGAATTGACTCTGAAATATAATTAATGTACCCAAGGCGACAAATTATTGTATTTGCAATCCTTTGCACAAAGCAGATAATTTTGTATTGTAAATTGCGACGCAATTGATGGAGAACCCACGCTCCATCGTTGCTTTATATTATCATGTGTTAGATCGTCAAGCGTTGTCTTCGCCGTCCGTTGTATTCCGCGCATTGAATTCTCCACGCTTTATATTTTATAAGCGTTATATTTTTCACGAGTATTTTCCACGCGTTCTTTCGAGTGCTGAATTTTTCACCGACTGTATCCTCTGCGTGATTTTTATACGTTGCATTTCTTATGTCTCAAAGCACTCATTGTACTGCATGTTATATAGTCATTGCATTCTTCACTCGTCATATTTTTACTTGTATCGTCACACACTATTGTCACCCGCTGTAGTGTCTACGAATTTATGTACTTCTTACTTTACTATTACATCTAAGAACGTCCCCGACAAGGAGCTCATTGCTGCGTATCCAGAATGGAATCAAGACATTGCAGACAAATCCATGTTACAGAAAATGATTATAATTAACGAAGTTGTGGATTGAAATACGCCTGACAAAAGGAGGTAAATGAAAAGGTGAAGCAGAGTCCTTGATCCACAGCATCGTTCGCGTACGAATAGAGTAGCATTCGAAGGGGTCAAGAAGAATCAGTAACCGATGCCCAATTTTCCCATAACGATTCTCCGTTGATCGTGAACGAAGCGGGCCGCTCTGATTCCCACATGCCCCTCTACGTCCGCGGGTCAGGTCCGATTATGAAGCATGCCCGTGCGTTCTCCAAACGGGGCGACCGAGGGGCGGTCGCAATGGTGGCAGTCCAACGTCCCATCAAGCGAGGTAGCACGACCCATGCCAGAGTGGGAATCGAAAAAAGGCGAAGAAGAAAGAGATAGTCGGAGAAGCAACAGCACGAGGGGTGCGAAAGAGAAAGAAAGAGGAAGAAAAACACACGCACAGGAGGCAGTGGCGGCGGTACCGCGCCCGCATCCAGCGTCCGTCCTCTCTTGAAGCACGCAGAGGCTACAGGATTGGTTGGCTTCCATGTGTGGGGGCGGCCTGGCCGGCAACCCGTTGAAAATATAAGCCTGTGTGAGTATCGGTTGATTAGCCAGAGTCAGAAGAGATCGGTCGGTAGCGCGACAGTGTCCAGATAGGCCGCTCCTCTTAACAACTCCACGCAGATTTCCAGCGGAGAGAAGGCATCCGTCTTTCGATCCGGTCCAACTCGATCCTGAGCCTCCTCTGTCCGTTAGCGACACCGGCCGGTTCACTTCGTTAGCTCCGGCTTCAAACTAATCAAAATTAATCATAACCCGGGCAACAATTGATCGCAATTGGCCCGGATTCCATTACGGAGGACGCGCTAACGCCATCACTCCTGACACCCGTACACTTTTCTGCATAATTGATCAGCGGAGTGACTTTGAGGAACCAACCGCTTCGAGGAACAGCCAGTCCATGGGGAAACCTGTTGCACCTCTCTTCAGGATTATACGCGATTAACCAGGGTAACCTCAGCGAGATTCGATTGAACGGAGGTGATTTTAATCGAAGAGCGACTTCAAAGAACCTGTTGCGCCTCTCTTCAACATCGCCTCTTAACGCAGTGAACTTCGAAGAGGAACGTACAACGTTGTTTGATTACTAACATCGGTGATCAATTGATTTAAGGTGCTCTTCGTGGTCTAGCCACGTGTGCACGAAAGTTCTCTGCTACCAAGAATTGTGAAGTGTCTTCGGGTGTTGAAAGAGTTTGATTTTTCCGATCGCAAGATGGACGGAGGTCCTTTCGATGACCCAATCTTTTCAGACTTTGGTGGACGAGGTGGGTCGGGAGTGCACAGTATTCAAGTGATGCTTGGTTTGCACGGTGGACACCATGGCGGAGATTTGATGCCAACTGGAGGACATCTTCATAAGCTGGACTCCTCTAATAGTCCCCCGCCTCATCATCAAACGTCCCATCACCATTTGCAGCAGCAGCAACAACAACAGAAGGAGCTGAAGGAGCTGGAACTGGCCAACGTCCCATCAAGCGAGGTAGCACGACCCATGCCAGAGTGGGAATCGAAAAAAGGCGAAGAAGAAAGAGATAGTCGGAGAAGCAACAGCACGAGGGGTGCGAAAGAGAAAGAAAGAGGAAGAAAAACACACGCACAGGAGGCAGTGGCGGCGGTACCGCGCCCGCATCCAGCGTCCGTCCTCTCTTGAAGCACGCAGAGGCTACAGGATTGGTTGGCTTCCATGTGTGGGGGCGGCCTGGCCGGCAACCCGTTGAAAATATAAGCCTGTGTGAGTATCGGTTGATTAGCCAGAGTCAGAAGAGATCGGTCGGTAGCGCGACAGTGTCCAGATAGGCCGCTCCTCTTAACAACTCCACGCAGATTTCCAGCGGAGAGAAGGCATCCGTCTTTCGATCCGGTCCAACTCGATCCTGAGCCTCCTCTGTCCGTTAGCGACACCGGCCGGTTCACTTCGTTAGCTCCGGCTTCAAACTAATCAAAATTAATCATAACCCGGGCAACAATTGATCGCAATTGGCCCGGATTCCATTACGGAGGACGCGCTAACGCCATCACTCCTGACACCCGTACACTTTTCTGCATAATTGATCAGCGGAGTGACTTTGAGGAACCAACCGCTTCGAGGAACAGCCAGTCCATGGGGAAACCTGTTGCACCTCTCTTCAGGATTATACGCGATTAACCAGGGTAACCTCAGCGAGATTCGATTGAACGGAGGTGATTTTAATCGAAGAGCGACTTCAAAGAACCTGTTGCGCCTCTCTTCAACATCGCCTCTTAACGCAGTGAACTTCGAAGAGGAACGTACAACGTTGTTTGATTACTAACATCGGTGATCAATTGATTTAAGGTGCTCTTCGTGGTCTAGCCACGTGTGCACGAAAGTTCTCTGCTACCAAGAATTGTGAAGTGTCTTCGGGTGTTGAAAGAGTTTGATTTTTCCGATCGCAAGATGGACGGAGGTCCTTTCGATGACCCAATCTTTTCAGACTTTGGTGGACGAGGTGGGTCGGGAGTGCACAGTATTCAAGTGATGCTTGGTTTGCACGGTGGACACCATGGCGGAGATTTGATGCCAACTGGAGGACATCTTCATAAGCTGGACTCCTCTAATAGTCCCCCGCCTCATCATCAAACGTCCCATCACCATTTGCAGCAGCAGCAACAACAACAGAAGGAGCTGAAGGAGCTGGAACTGGCTGGGATGTACGCGCCGCTTCCTCAGACTCAAGATGTTACCACGTCGACGTCGTCCACCGCGACGCCGACCTCGACGACTCTGCAGCAGGGATTACAACTTGGGAATTCGATGAAGAGGAAGCCGGAGGACCCGATGAACAGTCTTGCTCCAGGTTTGTAATCACATTCAATATTTGAAAGACTTTTATCAAGTATTAAATTCGGTTAAAGTAATTGTATAATAATTTGTATTACAGTTAGCAGCGAGGCCCAACCAGCCAAGAAAGACTCTAAAAAGAAGACTGATAACAATGGAATCAAGAAGAAGAAAACTAGGTAGGTTTCATTCTGAAGTTCAATTTTCTTGGCTATTTAACAATTGTTATAATTCTTGTTTTATTTGATCAATTTTAGAACCACGTTCACGGCATACCAGTTGGAGGAGCTAGAGAGGGCATTCGAACGTGCTCCCTATCCTGATGTATTTGCACGCGAAGAACTCGCGCTGAAGCTAGCTCTGTCGGAATCCAGGGTCCAAGTTTGGTTTCAGAACCGACGAGCAAAATGGCGGAAGAGAGAACCTCCGCGTAAGACCGCCGGTTACATGGCTACTGGATCAGCGAGCCCTGGTTTATCAGGTTAATATCACTTTTCTATAAAATCTGCAGTTTCGAGATATCCGAACCTTGCGATCTTTTTTTAATCTTCCAAATTAACCCTCTTTCAGGTTCATTTACTTCGCTGAACAATACCTTGAACCCGTTCGCTTCTCCGACAACGGCGACCGCACCGCCCGATGCATGGGCATATTCACCAGCCTATGATCTAGCTCCTCATCTGAACCTTCTAAGTTCTTCGAACTCTCCTTACTCCACGTCGTTTGGTGGTCCAAGCAACAACGGATCGGCGTACACTTACGGGACGATGCTACCTCAGCACGACGCCTCCTTGTTCTCTACGCCGTCCGGTAACACGATGCGCGTTCATCAGGATTATATGAACGCCAGCAACAGTCCACCGCCGCCTTTGAGCCGCAACGATTACCAGACGATGGTCACCACTCATTCGCCACCCACGCATCTGGCCAACTCCATGTCTGAGGAGGAACACCAACAGAACAAGCAGCTAGACTATGTCAGTGGACTCAGTCCAGCGGATAAGTATCAGCACGAGCAGCCAGACTACGCGCAACAGCAGCAACAGCAACAGCAACAGCAGCAGGACCAGAAACAAGAGTATGGAATGCACTCGCCACAAGGTCGTCAAGGAATGAAGGAACAAGTGATGGTGAAGACCGAACCCACGAGCCAACAGAACTACGTACAGTTGCCTCCTTTTCTGAACTGACTCGAAACCTCCGTTCTAGACTTGTTCTAGAAGAGACGGTTGTTTCAACTTGTCCTCTCCCTTCTGAGGGAATCTGAGAATCTTTTTACTTTGACTGGGTAGTAGATATTTTCTTTATAACTGTTGGATGAAAGGAAAAGAGAAAATATCAGTGCGGTTTGTAACTGTAATTGCGCATAGGGAAAGAGTGATATGACCTCTGAATGTACGATGTTGGTAAAAAAGGAATTTAGGTTATATTAGTTTGGAAAACGAATTTAATTGTATATAAAATGTTCTGCGATAAAAAGATTGTCTTTAAAATATTTTTAAATTCATAGATTCGTGTTATAAATAATTGTGTATCATTTTCACGTAATTGGTATGGGAATCAACTTTCTAATAGAAATTTATGGCTATTGTCGATATTTTTCCTGAACATAGCGTTTCTTTATTTTTATACAAAACATATAAGTAAATGATACCAAGTATTCTAAGAATTAATAGAAGAGCCATTGTAAGATATTTATGAGAGCATTCCAGTGCCTTAAAAATGTAGTTTAATCCAATGTATGTAAGTATTTTTGTATTGTTTTCTTTGTTCATACTTATTCGAATAAAAAACGAAGATAATATTAAATGAAATTGAACACAGTTGTGTTCTATACTCTTGTATGTATTCTATGATGATAGTATTTTATAAAGGATATAAAGTGTAAAATATTGAATTACAGTCAACTTGTAAAACTTTGATACACAAATATTCTGTGTGTTTTTTTGTATTCTTTTTTGCAATTACTTGTGTCTAACTACAATAAAAAACGAAGATAACAATATCAAATCAACCATTCGGTACTATTTAACTACCTTACTATTAACTGAGGGAAGTCATTTTTCTCGTTATAATAAAAATTATATAAAATCTTACAAAAAATGTTAATTCAAGCAAAAGAATATATATTTGTCTAGTAATTGTATATTATCTTAACAAATACTCGAGCCACGCTATTTCGTTTAAATTTTGTATTGCTTTATCGTTGGTAGCTAGATTTTTAATTACATCTTCATATTCATAAATCTTTAAGTCTGTAGAAACGTTTGACCTTGCAGTTACTACTGTAGTATCCATTCCTTGCCAAACCGCATCCCCATTAAAATGATGTTCCTTTTCTAAAATGTACAAACATAATGCTAAGTATTGACTACCAGAAAAATTATATCCTTTATCTGAAGTATATTCTTCATTTATTGTGTTCATTGCTTTGTTAATTGCAGACCTACACAGAAAAAAAAAAAACAAATAATAAATATTAGGAATCATGTAAATATGATTGAATTTTTATATTTTAAATGCAGTAAATATATTCTTACACTGAATACAAAATGAGTTGAATATTTTCACATATTTCATTAATTGAATAATTCTTTTTCAGATATTCTATTGTTTTTGATATTAGCAATAATGGCACAGTTTTCCAATGGCTGTGTTTTTTAATATGATCTACTAAATATGCTTTATCGGCGCCAAATTCTTTGCATAATATATATATTATATACTTTACGTGAGCTGAACGGTTATAAATACCTTGTACGTATCTAAAATGCAAAAAATTCTATTTAATATCACGTGCAGGATTATTAATAAAAAATGACTAAACTTCATTCAGATTTTCACCTTATGAATATTAAATCACTGCACAAATATGTATGAATAGTTGCTGTAAATATGCGATTGCAAAGTTTAAGATATTCTACTCGCGTTTCAACCATACTGTAATATTGAATCAACTTTAATACACGTGGATGCTTTGCCCAAATACTTAATTCATAACTACTTAATATGTTTAGGTATCTAATAAGAAATACTTCTTTGGTTATACATGCAGTAGGCAAATAAGAGATAGTAGGTACACCTGGTATATCCAACTTTTTGCAAAGCATTAATAATTCTTTAATTTTAATTGAAGGATAACATAATATGCGAGGAAACTTCCTAGCTACCTCGATTATGTTTAATTTACCTACAACATGAACATCTTCAAATTCTGACAAATAGCTTTCAATATTATTTTTATCCTGCTTGAGCAAGAAAGCATGTTTACATAACTGCAAAACATGTATCATTTATTTCATATTATATTGTATTATGTCTCAAAGAGTACTTCATTTTCTAAACATAGTGAATAGTGATACTTACAAATTTGTGATCAAAATTGTATTTAGTCTGCAATATGTTCAATAATTCTGTAACCTCTTGAAAGCTTTGATATCTAATCTTTCTAGTTTTATGAAATATATCACTATTTAAATTAAGATAATTTGCTTTAAAATATTTCATACAAAAATGATAATAATCGCCTGCTCTTACATTGCAATTAAATTCCTTCAGACTACTTTTATTAATTGTAAAACCTAGATTAGTAATTATATTGTTCATAATATTCTGTGTAGGTGGAATATTATGAACTTTTTTAAATTGCTTTATTGATCTGCGCATTGATGTTGGAAACCTGAAACGCAAAATAGTTCTAATAAATGACAATATAAAATAATATACTTATTTCTACCAAATATTAGACCTACCGATAAATATGATTTACGTTTGGATTTTGCACACCCATTTCTTTAAGCACTAAAGTTCTACGTTTTACAACTGATGGACAAAGGGCTAAACAACGTTCCAAATGTCTCAAATCTATTAAACTTACATTTAATTCCTGAAAGTTGTTAATAAACAGATTATATAATACTGAATGATAGTTCAGACTAGTTATACTTACTCTTATTATTTTACAATTTTTAATAAGTTTGTCTCTTGGTATTTTAGAAATATAATCTTTTCTCTGTTGATCTATACATTTTACAACACCCTCATCAATTTTTAAATGTGTAGCTAACAAATTATCAATATCAGTAGATAAAAATATTTTTTGATATCCGTAACACATGTTCGTGAATCTGCTTCGAACTAACGATTTAAACATTTTGTTGCATATTTAATTGATTAAAACAACAAGAAAGATATTAATGTAATGAAAAATTTAGAGGTTATGTTTCCTATAAACAGAAATTGCATGTATTAATCAGAAAATAAATTAAAGCTACACTAAATTCGTAATCAATTTATTACCATTTCATCGAATTATATAAAAAATGATGACTTATTCTCAAATCTTTAAAACATCTCAATACAATTTTGATCCTATAGTCATGGACCGACTATCCGACAGCAGCGACTTTTGAGCGCAAAATGTAAATCATAGAATCAACTTACTTTATGTATAGAGTTTAATACTACAAACTACACACGACAAAAATATAATTGCGTTGTCGAATTTATAGGAAAGAGAATTCACTAAAATATATTGTAGTTATCGTGCGTTTACTTTTTTTATTTCAAATGATTTCTTTGTAGTTCCAATTTTACAAATTTATTTCAAAGTTCACGGTACGATGAACATACAACAATAATATATAAATTAATTTCTCTAAAAATATAGATAAAAAAGATCACGTCGATATTTCTTTGAAACGCAGTTGCAAAATATTCACTAAATCAAGTTTGTAGAAAAAAATACACGGAACCATTTAAAAAGTTGTATGCTTATATATCCATGCTATGCGGCGTAATAAACAATAGTTCTAAGCACCGTATCATTCAGATTTCAGATGGTTTAATTCTTAAAATCACAGGAACACTAGTACATGGTAAAATAGCCAATTCTGTAACGACGGCTGTTACCAAATCAGCCGGTGTAACATCATATGTTATATTTAACAGATTCAATGACTTTCTAATCTTCCAGTTTGCAAGTAATGATTTCTTTGTCCCGTTCCCATAAACTTGTGCGAGTTCATCTGCATTACCTACGAATGAACCAACAATTTATTAAGAAAGAAAACTAATACAGTTACAAATTCGATCCGCTTACCTAATTCATTGTAGACTATAGAATCTGTTTGTACACGTTCACAAGATTTGTGAGTTTCGCATGCTACTAATACAGGAATATTGAAAGCTCTTGCCATTAAAGCAACTTGAGCGGTACCAACTCTAGACATAACTGCACCATTAGCTAATATTGCGTGAGCACCAAGAAAAACTTTAGACACCTGTTTAAACATACTTATAAGAACGAAATATTTATGCTTACTTTATATCGTAACGCATATTTCTACTCCTAGATCCTTTATGTATTATAAATTTCGTTATAAATAAAAAGAAATCTACACCGGCAGATTTTACTTACTTCCGGCATTACATAACTTAAAGCATTAATTAAAATATATGAGCATTCAATTCCATTTTTTGCTAAACGTCTAAGTTGTTCTTTTCCTTCAAGCCATGGTCTTCCATCCACAACAATAACACGAAATTGTTTTCCAGCAGTATGCGCATCTGATAGTATTTTATGAATCAGTGATGAACTGAAAACAGAGATCAATTATATTATCAATAAATAAAGCATACAGAAACTTCGTATAACATTTAAATACTTACTAGCCATAAGTAAGAATAACATCTCCATTAGATATTTTCGTTTGAATCGTTATTGATATTGCCTTATCAGCAAGTTGTATTTGTTCAAGGATGTAAGTATCTATTGCGCTGATTAACTTATTTTTTGCCTAAATATCATTTTATAATAAATTTTTAAGAATATTATGAAAGTGTTAACAAAAAATTTTACTTACATCTGCATCAGACAACGCAGGATGTAATTGTGTCATTTGCCACTTTAAGTGTCTCAATGCGTTTTGCATAGAAACAGCTAATGGTCTACAATGATGCAAGTACGCTACGGATTCTTGTAAACTCGCTTCCAAACCTCTAATGAAATCGGCTTGTGATGGTCGTTCAAAGTCCTGAATAAGTTGCTTGACAGTAGCCAAAAGTGCAACACACCTTGCGTTACTGCCAACGATTATTTTGCTCGCGTACTGTGTACCTAATCTCACTATTGCAGGATGTATACTTGAATTGACAAAATGTACATTTACAACAGCTTGCTCTCTTTCATGATACAAATGTTTAAAGAGATTTATCTGATGAGAATTATCTTTTTGAGCAACTTTTTTAGGCGTCACAATTTTCTTATCAATACTTGTTTCATCAGTAATTTGCTTAATACATTTATCATTATCTTCTTCTTTCTTTTTAACTCTACTTTTTTCTTGCAGTTGCTGCTGCTTAGCTGCTCTTTGTGCTTCTTGTTTCGCTCTTCTTTCAGCCCGCAATTCTGCTTTACTTTTTTCTGCTTTACCTTCAGTATTACTTTGTACGGGTGCAACTTTTATACACGTATTAATAGTCTTATTAACTACAGGTATTTTATTGGAAACTTGAATATTCTCCGGCGTTTCACTGTTTTCCTTATTTTTCTTAGTTTCAGTAGGCACAGTTTTATCTTTGGAAGCATCCTTATCTTCTACCTTCGAAGATTTAGCTTTTGCTTTAGCAAGTGCTTTAGCAGCTTTCTTGGCTTCACGTTCAGCTTTAATTTCTTCTCTTGACTTTTCTGGGATGTTTACTTTACTGTCAGGCATCTTAGTTGCTGTAACCGTAGAGTTATTTTGCTCAACGTCTTCTGCAAAGGAAAGGCAATCATATATTTATACAGGCATAGAAAGTAATGTTGATAATAATGAAATTTTAATTTCCGTCCCAGAATAGGTATTTGATAACACTTGTACTATATAGAAGAAACAAAATCATTGAATTTAACAAATTTATAAATTAACTGATTAAACATTTATATTCTTTTCAAATCAAATTAATTTTTAAATTTATTAAATTGCTTTCTCAATTTTGCGTCACAGCTTGCGCCATGATGTGAAACGTAAATAATTGTAGTTTACATCGCTATTTATGCCAGTAGGATACCTACTAAGGGACATAATATTTTATTTCTTTATTGTAGAGTTCCCGCTATATTCGTATTACTTATGGGATGACCCGATAGTATCACGTACTGTGCGTGCTCTTTTTTGATACTCCGTCTGCTGCTACCCGGATCATCTCCGACTCCACATTAACAACACTTGTTTCAAATTCAGTACAACAGCTTAGATTGTTTTCTTCTCGGTTGATGTATTTCATCAAAATTGGATCAATGATAGAAAAGTAAGTATCATAACAAAAAGAACAGATGTTCTGAACAGACTTTGTTTTATTTTTCTTTCGTAATCGTCGCGCTTTAGATTTTGTCACTAGTTTTGTATCTGTTGTGTCGTTATCAGTAATAACTTCTTGATTATTGATTGGCTCAATGACAAGTGACGAATCTTTACAATATGATTCACAGTACGAACAACAATTCTGAAGCTGTGTTGCTTTATTTCTTTTCCTTAATCTCCGAGCTTTTGACTTTGTTATAACTTCTGGTTGATCTCTGTCTTTTTCAGTGGCAGATTTTTGATTGGATTCAGTGTTTACGTTATTGGTTAAATTTTCTTGTTGCTTTTCAGCTCTACGAAAGTCATGCAAACGCTTACGACGAAGATGCCGTGCTGCTGAACGTGTAAAACACTTTGGTTGATTCCTTTCTATTAACTAGAAGCAAGAAACGGTTTTAAAATTATATTCTTACAATTGATTTCTTATAATTTTATGTAACACTTAATGATAAAAGAAGAAAAAATTAATTAGCAATATACAAAGAACAGATAGAAAGTGTTAAAATGTGAAAAATATAAATGCAACTCAATATGCTAGTGCAAGATTAGTAACAATGTTATAAACAAATATTACTTTCAATTAACTTTTAATTAAACTTAATAAACATGCAGTAAGATATCAATATGTGTTACAGTAATATGCAATAAAATTATAAGTAGTCTTAAAAATATTGATTAATTAGGAAAATAATCTTACAATAGAAAAAGAACAGAATAAAAAACTCTGGTACTAATTTCAAATGTACAAATATTTACGGACATGTTCTTCTTGGTCCATCATCATTGCATCAGTATTGAATCATGGACATAAGGAATATTCAGCTGCAAACATCAACGCAACATTAGATAACTATATTTTCAAATGAAAGGAAAAAAGCATTTTTAGATAAGTGAAAATTTAACACCATACAATTTTTTTCTTTGTATCTGTATACAATCAAATATAATAATGATGATGCAATAATAACATATTTTAAATATTAAAGATATAACATTTGTTACAAAATAAATGACATATCATATTATAAATAAAGGTATTGAAAATATAGCAGATTATATGACAAGATGATGGTAATACATATTATAAAACATATTTTACAAGATAAATGTGCAACAATAGTGCATAAACAAATTACATCATGAAACACAATGTTAATTGTTAAATAAATTAATTGCTCAAATATATAAATTATTTTATGTGAACACAAGTATGTAGAAAATTTTGTAAATGACCTTTTCCGAACGATGTGATCTTTTTACGTAAAGATTTTATTTTATTTCATAAAATCGTATTTTCATTTGTCTAACCTATCATACACAGCTGTGTTAGTTGCAATCATAATAAAATACTTTTTTTATTGAAGTACTCCATGTCCAGGTCAAGTACCTTTTATCTTACAAATATAAATTTATGTTTGCTAATAACACTATACGGTGAAGAAAAATAATCGTTCACTTTTATTCGATTTTTAACCATGAACTCATATTCTTCGTCATACCGTGAAAATTTACCGTGCTTCCATCTATGAGTGCAATTCTATATTAATTTTGAAAACAATTGTAATTCACTACCATACTTCACGTTGTAAATTTATTATTATTAAAAATTGATAATACAATCATTTTAAACAAATCTATAAACAGTTACGGGCTTTTAAAAAAAAGCTATATACTGAAATCTACATAATAATAAATACTAGGTCTGTTTGATTAGGCGCTCCGCGCCTAACCTAACAATGTTGAGCGAGCGAGTAAATTTCACGCTACAACAAAAATAGTCAACCGTATCATCCAGTTGAATTGGTTGAGTGGTGCAAGAGAAAAACGTGGACAAAAAAGTTGAAAAGTCAAGTACATAAGCGAGAGCAAATTCAACTTTGCATTAAAATCTATGAGGATATGGTTATTCGGTAATTATTCTTCCGTGGCATGCGCGGGCGGCACGTAGGAGGAATATACACGACAATGAGTATGCAAAATCGTTTATTACTCACTTTCTGAGCACAGTTTATGAACTTTTATGATTAAAGAATGGTCAGCAATGCATTATTTACATGGTTCGATCATAAAAGTTCATAAATAATGTTCGGGTAATGAGTAATTAATTATTTTGTGTCAGCATTGCGAAATTTTTGTAGAATTCGGTCCAAAACGGTACAGGTGGCGCCATCTAGCGGCGAGCGGCGGAACTACGAAAAACTAAAATTTCGATTTTCTCGAAAACTAGGGACTTTTCCGAAATTATGAGATATACAAATTGCTCCTTGTGGCCTAAGGAATCGAACGAATATAATTATAATCTGCTAGGACCATTATTAAAAAAAATAGAAAAATAGCCCATTTCATGGACTAAAAAATTGCCGTCCATCTAGCGGTGAAAGTTGGAACTACAAAAATAGAAAATCTCGATTTTCTCGAAAACTAGGGATTTTTCCGAAATTCTGAGATATACAAATTGCTCCTTGTGGCCTAAGGAATCGAACGAATATAATTATAATCTGCTAGGACCATTATTAAAAAAAATAGAAAAATAGCCCATTTCATGGACTAAAAAATTGCCGTCCATCTAGCGGTGAAAGTTGGAACTACAAAAATAGAAAATCTCGATTTTCTCGAAAATTAGCGAACTTTGAGTACTTCCGAGGTTGAGAAAGTGTTATGTGATCGCATTAGAAGCAAAATAATACAACAAAAGCTCCCTAAAGGCTTTAATAAAGAAAATAAAAAAAATGTCATTTTATGGAGAAAACTTGTATAAGAGCTTCGCTCGCTCAATAATTGTTTCTATATCGTGCATATATTTCCTCTACCTCAGTAGATAATTCAATTTATTTAAAAAAAAGATATAGCTGATGGAAGGAATTAATAAAATTCAAATTTTCTTTTTTATACTTTATTTATACAATAATTTGTAAAATTCTTAGATCACTTTTTCTGCGCTGCAGCTGCTTCGTCCTCGCGCTGATAAGATTGCAACAATTCTTGTTTCTTTGTAGCAATACGTTCTGCTCTACGTTTACGCGCTTCTCTGACTTTCGTACGACGCGCTTCTGCTTGATCTGAAAGCATCTCTGCTCTAGCCTTTTCAGCCTTTTTCTTGTGAATAAATTCCATCAAAACTCTCTTGTTTTTGAACACGTTTCCCTTAGCTTTCATGTACAATGAGTGATACAAATGTCTGTCAATCTTTTTTGTTTCACGGTATTTTTTCAAGAGTCGACGAAGGACTCTCATTCTTTGAATCCAAAGATCCTATAAATATATAATTAAAACTGTATATTTAAGTATCAAAATTTTTGCTTATATGCAAGACCAACCAATAACTCAAGTTTAAAGAGTAGAGTAATTAGGAAATATTTATTTACCTTTCTTGGTGTACGAGCATTTGCTGTACCCTTTCTTTTACCAAAACCACAATGACGTCCTTTACGTCTGGCTTCAGTATTTTTACGAACACGTGCTCTAGAGTGAACAGCTACAGGTTTCTTAATGATGAGACCATCTTTAATCAACTTCCTAATACTTTGTCCTGCAAGAAAAATGAGAGTTGTGTACATGTCATAAAGCAATAAAAATATTAGAAGTATTTTTTTAAATAATAAAAAACATACGGGAGTTTGTATTTGCAATTTCATTGATTTCATTAGGATCCAACCAGACCTTCTTTTTACCACATCGCATAACAGAGGCAGCAAGCCTCTTTTGCAGCTTTAAAGAACTGAAACAAACAACATGAGGTTATATTTTGGAAATAACTTTCTACTGATTACAATCTTTATCAATATATACAATTATTTTTGTACAGCTTATATGATATATCTGCTAAATTTTAAACATAGTCCCTAAAATATTAAATAATATTTCAGATAAACATAAATTTCAAACGATTAACCATGTGGTCAGCCGTCAACAAATTATTAAACATAATACATAAAAAATATGATATGTTAAATTGAACGTTATATTTTTTGGTAAATATGAATCTCATCATTTATATTATAAGTAATAACAAAATAAATTGGGATGAATATATTTAAATTTAACAAAAATTCTTTAAACATAATGTACCTCATGATGAAGGCTACGAGTCCTCCCTGGTAAAGAACATCAAAATGGCGTTGCCTCTATTTCCTACTTATCAATGTTAAAACGGAAGTGCTGAAAAGTTACTAAAAATATAAAAATTACTAAATTTGAAAATTTGATATTCGAAAAATTTGAAATTTCTATATTTTCATATTCTTTGAAATTTACATTTACGTGAGCTCTCTTAGAAAGTGAGTAACAGTTCTATCATAAAATCGTCGGTGCTATTTGTTAAAATTGGCCGCTTGGTGCAGCACTTCTCCAAGATACACTAAAATTCAGACTTGAATATTCTCTATAGAAATAACTTCAATGGAAATGTGAGAAAGATTTAAGAATTTGGCGCTATTTTGAAGTTGTACGTATTTGGTTTGAAATTGTTTATTTCCCACATGATGTCGACATGTGAGTATTGTTTAATATATTAAAGCGTTTATGTATCACTTCTGAATTATAAAGTATATTTATGTATTTAAACTCTATTCTTTCAATGTTTTAGCAACTTCTACAAACATGGAACAAGAAATAGTTAATGTTATAAAAAGATTTAAATTTGAAGAATTAGAATCATCGATAATGCCAGTTTTTCCAGAGATATCATGGGCTAGCATAAAATCTGAGTTGGTCAAATGCCATAAAACATTTACATCAGCTAATGTAGCACAATATGTTAAAAACATTATAGGTGTAAGTTTGTGTATCAATATATCTGAAACATTTCAATCTTGTGTGTCTCATACTTTCAATTCTGTTAATAGGGAATGAAGTTATCAGAAGAGGTTCTGAAGGATCGCTTGTTAACATTAAAATTAATTGGTAATATACAGTGTATTATTTTTTTTTACTTAACAAAAGATTAATAATAAAACCCCTGTTTCAGACATAAGTTGGCATAATAAACGTATTACATGGTATGGTTACACATTGATAAATGCTACTAATTCTAAAGATTATTTTACAAGCAGAGAAATTCAAGATAGTATGCAAAATTATTTTCAATCTCTAAATTTAAATACTAAAGTAAAAGTAAATATGCATAATAGTATTACATATGTGGCTATATTTGAAAGTGGAAGAAAAACAAGGAAGAAGCATTATGTTACTACTATGTATCTTGCATTATTTATGGGTCAAAAGTATTTTTTTTCTACTAAGAGATTCATTTCATTGAATATTTTAACTGCAGTAATAAAGTATTTGGGTTATGCGGACTCAAAGAGACTTAAATTAATGGGAAGAGATCTTAAATCTTTGAGTAGATTATGTTGGAAGAAAATGGAAGGTGCCTTAAATTGTGAAACAATTAATAATACCTTGGAGTATAAAGATGCTGCTCCTAACATTAAGTAATATTTGTTTTTTACATTTTCTTTGAAAAATAAAATTAAAACACTTCTTGGCAAAAGAATGATATTTACCATATTCTGTTTCACTTATTTTACAGAAAAACAGGAATAGATTTTACTCAACAAAAACAACGAAGAAAGTACTCAGAAATGTGTTTTGGTGATAATCCTCCCACCATAGAAAGACTTGTTTTAAATGGACCAAGTATGCCTGTGAAACACAAAGTCATAGCAAAAGAGTTACCAAATGAAACCATGCGTATAACGTAAGCGTCATTTTCATAAAATTATAATACATTTTAACACTATGCTGTATGAAAACTTTAATTCTATGTATTTCAGATGGGAATTTCGCAGTCAAAATATTGCAGGATGTTTAACAAATTTAATAGAACGACGTATACTTGTTACCCCTGTACCTAATTATATATCAAATCTTATGGTGCTGGGAAAAAATGAGATAACACTTAAAGAATAACTAACGATTTTGGTATTCAAATGATACATAATAATATCGACAGTTAGTAAAATATTAAACACACTAATTTGTTGAAAGCATAAAGTATTAGTAAGTGGTATAATATAAAATAAATGTACAAATTATATTTTCTGTTTTTATAAAAATATTATTTTTTGTTTTGTTAAAGTTGATTTTATTAAATAATAAACCAAACAATGTTTATAATATTTTTAGTTTGTAGTGCATAAAATAAAAAAGGATGTAACATTAATAACAAGAAACTTTACATAAAAATGTGATGTAACAATATCATGAAACAACATGATTTATTTGATATTTTGTCATAAATAAAATAATTTTTGTTCAAAAGCGGTATATAATATATGTAGTATTATTAGCGGTTTAATACCTTTATAACTCTTTCACTTTATTTATATTATCATATTGCAAAAAGTTTTATATTTGTGTTAAAGAAGCATACAAAAGATAAAGTTGTATAAAAAAAAAAATTACAAATTTTATAATTATGCTTAGATAGCATTATTGTAACAATATAAATTAAATGTATATCGAACAGTGAATATACTGAGATGTATATGAACATTATAAAATACGTTTCTAGATACGAATATCGTAAAAAATTTACATTTTCAACTAGACATATTGTCGTCTATTTCATCTATTTCGTCTTCTGATGTCAAATCTGGATCATTTGTTTGTGATAAACACTTACTGCAACAACAAATAAATAAATACAAAGAACTTAAAGCTTTTTGTCTAGAATGTCTACTTCTTTCTAAGTCACATTCATCAAGATAACTTATACATATTTCTTCTTCAGGATGAATATCACGTATTGCTTTTAAAACTAGTACATTATTTGAGTATGGGAATTCTACAATTGCATTTGGTATACAACTGTGGTTTACTGCAGACTGAAGAATATAAAGACCAGAACCTTCATTGTTTAAGAAAGAACCTACCGCTGTAAAACGTTTTTTTTATAGTTATAAAATTTACATTATTACATCTCAATTTTGTGTTACAGTTTAGAAAAATTTACCTTCTTCCATATCATCATAAATTCGATCTATTAATTTAAAAACATAAATTCTTTCTTCTTCAGGCAGCTCTAAAGCAGATACATTTTTAACCCAACGACTAAATGAACTAGTTCCAATTCCTTGACCATTTGTACCTACAAGAGCTAATAGACTTCTAAAGCCATCTGGTGTAAACCACTGTAAAGTAAAATTTAAATCATTTGTTTTATCATACTTTTTAAAATTATATATATGTCACTCACATGTTCTGTAAATTCTGTGTTTAAAGATTTTTGCATCATTTGTCTGAGTACATCTATTTGACCAATAAATTTTTCTCCTAACAGTTTATGTGCAATTTCAGATGTATCATTGTATGTACGATGACAAAATTGTGAAAATGTTGATAGCATATCTTCTTTATTATTGGCTTGATTAACAAGAGCTACCATTCTAGCTAATAACATTATTGTTGCAGATTCAGGTGGATAATGCATTTGTTTCCAAGTTTCATTTAATTGTACAAGGGGATGAGATTCATCCCTTTCTCTTGAGTGTAAACATAGTGTACTATGATACCTAAAATTATAAAAATACTGAATACTAGTAAAGTTTTAATTACTTTATGAATATTACAATGTTATAATAAATTACCTTGAATAGGCTTCATTCTGACACTCAATACTACAATATTTTGTACCACATTCAGAACATTCAGTTATTAAATCTTTCTTTGTTTCACAGCATTCTGGATGAGGTAAAATAATTGTTGAATTTCCAGTCAATCTATGTACATTTTCTTCAGCAGTTTCTAGCGGTTTTAAACAATTGTCACATGCTAAATATTTATAATCCAAATTCCATGAGAACTGACAGCAGACTATAGGCTTCTCTTCCAAAATTGTATCTCCATCTTTAAATGAACGAAGAGCAAAAAGTCCTTTACCCTACAATAAATATGTCATAGCATATATAGCAAAAATTATTGTTACATTAAATTTTTGCCCTAAAGAATGTTATAAAGAATTAGATGTTTAATGATAATCAAAACAAAAAAAAAATATTTATTTTAGTATAAAATAGTCATAATCCATCTAATGTCATTATACCTTTTCGCTGTTAATTAATCTCATTTGAAAGTCATTGGAATTCATTGTAACTTGAATCTTTAATAAAGGTACCACGTTAACAATGTATTCTAACCTTTAAATGTAGGTACCATGGTTGTTAGAATTAACACCACGTTAGTCAAATTATGAACAGTACAAGAATTTTATATAAGGAAATATTAAGACATAGGCAATAAAACAACAAATATATTTACTTAGATTTAAAAACTGATTATGTATTTGCTCTTTGTTTAAACAGTGTACATTTTAACGTAAAGTTATCATTGACTTGCATAGTATATGTAATACTTCCGCAAAGGCAAGCTTCGGATTGCTTTGGATGTGAATTACTTTGTACGAGTTAGTTAATACTCGTTGAGTAGAATTCGCTTAAAATAAACTGATCTCAGTTTATTTGTCTATAGAGGACAATGAACGGAGCGATGGCCATGGTAAGTTAGCTTTTTCAGTGTTTTTTTTTATAAAATATTGAACCAGTAGATCTTGCAAATGATTTGGAGCATGATGGCGGTTGTAAAATGCTACAACGTACTTGTACGTTTAATATTCTTTAAAAACCCAATAAAATTTGCAATACTTGGTTTTTGTGATATGTAATATATTGTTGATACATGAATCAACAAATACAATATAATTTTACCATTGATTGAATCGATAAGTTACTAACTTTCTTCTTGTACAATTTTTTCTAGTATTACTGTACTATAGATGAAAGACTTTTGTTTACAGATTTATTGATAAATACTTATTCTAATGACTATATTATTTTCCATGGTATAATAAAGATAGTTTTATGTATAAAACTGTAAAATCGTTAAAATTGATATTATCTATATTGCTTTAACAGTTCTTCGTTATTGTCATTTTAAAAATACATTTAAACACTTGAACTGCTGTAAGAACTTTTCATGATACACAATTAAAAATAATTTGTTCTATTTTTAGGCACCAACAACCCAAAATAATATGGAACCACCAAACAAGAAACCTAGAGTTGAAGGTACATTGCTAATATTGCCGAATAAATGTATGCTCCTAATCACTAATAAACCGTACAACTAAGCGTACAACTGGAAAAGACGGTGAACACAGAAGCAACAGCAAGCATAATATATTTCTAAGCAATGGAAATGATGAAGAAAAACATATATTATTTATTTAGGACAATCAGGTGCTAGCTTTCTATTAAAGTGCTGGCAAGCTATAAGTGTTGAGTGGTCTATTGCAGTTTCAGAATATATTTTGGTAGGCTAGGGTAATAGGTGATCGTTGGCCCTCAATAAAACTAATGTATGGTTGTCCTTCTGTTCTGAGATGTTACAGCGGAGAGACAGTACAGAATCTGTGGCCTACGACTGAGCTGTGATCATGAGCGTGCGCCAAACAAAGAAAGAGAACGCTACATTCGTTGAACAGAACAAATCAGAGTTTTGCAAACTCCTACTGACACAGCATCTATTGTCGAGTACCAAATACGATGCGTATTTTAGATAGGTCAGCATTTTAGGATAGCCTTCTTTCATCCTAATTATAAGCCTCATTCTGCACATAAATTAGTTAATAAAAAAAAATTTGTTTGTTTTCTTTTGTGAAGTAACATTTAATTAAGCAATGTAACTTACTCTATTTAAATTTGTGTTCAAAATAAGTTATGTGTAACATATATGATACATATATTCTTCAATGAAATTTAAAAAATGTATAATAGAAGAGGCTTATAAAGTAGGAGAAGCAATGGCGATGTATATTATCATATTAATATCCATATTATAAATAGGTAAGATGTTTTGTTCTTAAAGAAGAAGTATGTGTTGTAAGAAAGTTATTGCAGCAAGGTGTACAACTTGAGCAAAGTAAATTCTTTCGACGGTCAATCACGTTAGATTTCTAATCAATTAGGATCGCCATTGCTATATAGAACATGCTAGGGTTAATTGCGTGGTAGGTTGGAAAAGGCAAACTGTAAGAAAGTGGCGCAGAAAATGCACTGAGAGTATTCTCCTTTGCTTTGTGCTTACAGATTTGTGCGTCGCCTCAATCTCGGATAGTTTGCGCACAACCGTCATTGCTCAGCCCAGAACACGGTTAGCCGTTAATCAAATGATTGAACAAAGCTAATATTATTAATTCGTGAAATTCCGAAAGTCATAAAAAAGAAAAACAAGCGTTTCAACGTGTTCTGATTTCTGTTTCAGAGACTAGCAGACCAAATTGGTTAAGATCATACGAAACCTAATCTAGTTATTGGTAGTCTGATTTTTTTTGGGGCTGATAGTGTAAACAGTAATGAAATCTAAATGAAAACATATAGCTGCAGTGGTTTCTCTTAAACTTTGATATTATTTTTAAAACCGGAAAGCTTTTGTCATTATTTCTCTTTAGAAATACAAACAAATTTTTATTTTAATGGCGTGAAAAAAAAGGAATTCATCTCTTTACTTATTATACGTATTACATGTATCTGTGTACGAATATACATATATTAATATGTGTATATATTACCTTATGCTATAAAAATGTAATGTTATTGTTCTTGATTGTTTTAATTTCTTTAAACTTACAGTTTTGAGGATGGTTCTACCTTGGGAACTGCTGCACGACACCGTTCCTTTTTTTCATCTCTTTAAATCATTTCTTTCTCTTCTTGTTCATACTAAGAATTACAAGAATTTTACAATATATTTATATAGCAAACATTGAATGTTTCTGACAAAAATTAATTATGCGTACATTTCAAATGCTGTTTAATTTTAATAAATAGTAAGCATACAAATTAAGAAATCAGATCTGTATATCGTGTAAACATACGTTACTTTAGTATTTTTATCATCACAGAGAATCGAAGTCATGCATTATCAAAGTAAACTCTTAAAATGTGTGGAGTGTATGTGATGATGAAATTACTAAATACAAGTATTTATTATGTCACACATTTATCTAATGCTGATTTTCTTCGTAGGAAGTGCATCAGAGTTCTTGCCAGGCCCTATATATGACCTTAATCAAATTGGACAAGTTGTTGCCGGTAAATTATATTATTTAATTTTATAAATAATTAAATATCTTAATCATTAAATATTTAATGTATGATGTATAACATAACTGTGACAATTATATTTGTCACTCCAATTAGAGTTAGATTGAGAGTTGATAACAATTTATAGTGGACAAATAGCTGATAAGATCTGATGAAGCATTATATTTTAAAATATATTTTGGTTTACTAAAGGTAGAATTTTACATGTATTCTTTATGTTGTTCCAGGACCAGGAGCTAAGTACCTTACACTGCCTGGCATTCTAGGTGCAGGTCTTCCAAAAATTACATCTGAACAGCAAGATACAGTAAACAGAGCAAAGAAGTATGCGATGGAGCAAAGCATCAAAATGGTTCTGATGAAGCAAACCCTTGCTCATCAACAACAGGTAACTTTTGAACACAGTGCTAACAAACTTTACTCGCCTAACATATCTTCCATTGTACATTCATAAACTGTTGCAATGAAAAATATTTATTTCTTATTACTTTATACACATATTAATGAAAATAGAAAATATATTTGAAAAACATTGTATTGATGTGAATATAATATGTTAAATTTCTTCTGTGCTTTGTTAATGAGCAAGAAGTGTAGGTTGAATATTTTTATCAAATTTAATCAAATTTGAGTACAGTTTGAATTATTTAAATATGTGTTAATTGTTGGTACGAATGCACAATGGATTTGATGTATACACTTATAAAAATAGATGTTACAATTGTGGGGTTCTTTTTTGTCTCAACAAAATACTTATTAAAAATGGATTTACGTATAGTTTCCTCTATTTAGCTCTTTGCCAGTAATGTAAAGCAAAACTATGCATATAGTATTTTAAATTAACATTTGTCCTTATAATTTAGCTCGCCCCGCCGAGTAACGTTAAATTGTTTATGTAAAACTATTAACCTGTGTTCGTTATAACGAGCGAGTAAAGTCAAAAAATATAACAGAAATCAGAAACGAACACTGGAACCTAACTCTGATCGGTTGATTTTTTCTCCCCGCAGAAGAATAAGTTGGTCCTGCGGCAGCAAGTTTTATTGCTAATGTGCAGGTTAGTGTCAACCAAGTCAAGACAGAAACGATACGAAACCGCCTTACGATCAAACACTCCTAAACGTTTCCCTGAGTTACTACTGTAAGAGAAGGTTAGATATCTTGAAATAGTAGTCGGCGGGAGCAGAGCTGTACCAGCGCGAAGGAGGACAAGTTTTTGTGCATGAATCTCTGGACGATTTGAGAAAAATAATCAGTATATGCTTCCGAGCTCAACTATTCTTTATTTTCTTGCTGTAATAAAATTTTTATAAAAAGTATTTAAGTACAATAATTTGTATTTGGAATGCAGTGTTAAAAATTTAAACAAGCTGGCTTTAACATTTCTACTAAATATTAACTTAGCGTTAAATTTTAAATAATAATTTATATCATGAAAACTAAAAGTAAAAAGGATATTAATATTTTTAACAAGTGTGTTCTGAATACAAGGTCAAAATCTCAAGAATGAAACCTGCTCATTCTTAACTTTCTTGACTCCAAATTTTTCATATTATTTTCAATGCTGTAACATTTAATTTATATCTGTGTTGTTAATTCGCTTTATGTCCTTATTTAATTAATTAAAAAAAAGTTAGATATTGTATCAGATATTTGGAATAAGCTCTTGCTTAGAAAGATTGTGAAATTAAGAAAAGAATAGTTGAGCAAGGAAGATGGTATGGTAAAAGAGCTTGGGGGATTTTTGAAATGAACGAGACGTGGTTTATCTAAGGGGGAGGGATATCAATAGAAGGCCTATGGTCCTTTGTGTTACAGCAAATGGCTAGTCAACGGAATCAGGTGCAGAGACAGCAGGCTCTCGCCCTCATGTGCAGGTTTGTTTGTTCTTTGTCTTAGCCCTCGAAATTTCGTCCTCGGGACTCGCCATTTTAAATAGAAAATAATTTTCAACTGTCGTATTTTATATTCATATACTGAAGTATTTAATTCGCAGTTTAAATTGGGTTTTATTGAATTTTAGTTGTTTTGATTGTATGATTAGTAGACACTTAACATTTATTTTTTTAAAATACATATTGTTAAGCAACATTCAAGTGTGAATATAGCAACATATATTTCATATTGAATTCTTCCAGTTACCGTTAAGTTAAAAGAAGGTTCTTGAAATTCAGCTTTATACAATCATGTTAAGTGAGTAATTGAGTTATTACTGTTTTTTCTTCGCATAGTCTGAATTGGAAGAAATTAAGATGACAATAAATTTTGTTTGTCGTACTAAAAATTTTGTTCATATTGAATGTCGATAGGATATAGTTACGAATATGTTATTGATAGATACAGATATAAAAGAATCAATTTAATATAATTAAGAACAACTGTTATCTAAAATAAGATTCCTGTATGACAGGGTATATGTGGGCAGCATCAGTTTCGAATTAAAAGAGGATACAATCAGGCAAGCTTTCTTGCCGTTTGGTCCTATCAAGTCGATCAACATGTCATGGGATCCTGTCACTCAGAAGCACAAAGGATTTGCGTTCGTCGAATACGAAATACCTGAAGCAGCACAACTTGCTTTGGAACAAATGAATGGTGTCATGATTGGTGGACGTAACATCAAGGTAGCGGGACGTACCTATATAACGAATTTCCTGTCCCCCAGCAATCCTATCATCCCGCCGGAGGTCGGCAAATTTTTATTTTAGCCTTATCCAATACAAAATCCCTTTTGATTGAATTGCATTGAATTTACAGAATGCATTTCGATCAAAAAGTTCTTCAATTCTTTCCTAAAATCCAATTAGTTCCTTCATGTATTTTTTTCTGTTATTCACAAATAAAACTTTTTCATTATTTTTTATATATTAATATATATCTTGTTTTATAATAATATTCATTTTTAATAGACTTACACAAAATAATTTCCATTTATCTATTAAAAATGTTTCTGAGTTCCCGTGTTTTCTTCCTTTCAGGTCGTGGGGCGTCCATCGAATATGCCCCAAGCCCAGTCTGTAATAGACGAGATTACCGAAGAGAGCAAACACTATAATCGCATTTATATTGCGTCCATTCATCAAGATTTGACCGAAGACGATATTAAGTCTGTATTCGAAGCATTTGGTCCTATTACATATTGCAAATTAGCACAAGGTAGCTCACCCCATCGACACAAAGGTTACGGTTTTATCGAATATGAAACAATGCAAGCTGCTTTAGAGGCTATTGCATCAATGAATTTATTCGATTTGGGTGGTCAGTATTTACGCGTAGGCAGAGCAATTACCCCACCAAATGCCCTTATGGGTCCTCCAAGTGGAACCAGTATGATGCCTACAGCGGCAGCAGTTGCAGCAGCAGCTGCTACTGCAAAGATTCAGGCGATGGATGCGGTAGCTAGTAACGCAGTCGCTCTTGGTTTAACTAAACTTGGAGCGGCAGCGCCACCGATTTTGAACCAAGGTATATACATAGAAGTAATGCATAAAATTTTGTACGTAATGGAAGCTTTTCAATTGTACTCATTTAATATATTCAGCATTGCCTGGCATAGTAAGGCCTACAATTGCTCCTGCAACAATGATGGCACCACCAACTATAGCAACAGTAGCACCGGTTATACCTCCTCCTGGCATAGCTATACCACAGACTTTAACTCGACCACCAGCAATAATTCAACCAATTCCTGGACAACCAGTTGTTATACCACCTCCAGCTGTTGTTGCACCTACCATCGTAGGTACTCCCGTTGTAAGTTTCTTTTTCTGTAATTTGTAACTGCAAGAAAACTATACATATGATCACTGTTCATATGATCTAATTGTACATTGTTAGATACCAGTCACAACTACAACAAATTCTGATATAATGAGGCGAGCACAAGAGCAAGCCGCTCATCAAAAGCAGCAAGAAGAGTTGCAGAAGAAATTGTTAGAAGAAACAGAGCCACAAACGTTGCAGCAGCAAGAGAATATGTCGATTAAAGGACAAAGTGCACGTCATCTCGTGATGCAGAAACTTATGCGTAAAGTTGAATCCCGAGTTGTTATTTTACGAAATATGGTAGCACCAGAAGATGTAGATGAAAGTTTACAAGAAGAAATTCAAGACGAATGTTCTAAATTTGGAGTTGTAGAAAGAGTTATTATTTATAATGAACGTCAGTCTGAAGACGATGAAGATGCAGAAGTAATTGTAAAAATTTTTGTTGAATTTTCCCAAATGAGTGGTAAGTTTGCAGTGTTCGTTTCATAAACAAATTTTATTTGTTTAGCTAACGCTATTAAATAACTATTTCAGAGGCGGAACGCGCAAGGGACTCTTTAAATGGTCGTTATTTTGGTGGACGATTGGTAAAGGGAGAATTATACGATCAAGCTTTATTTGATAATAGTGATTTTTCTGGTTGATCAAGAAATATTTGTAATCTACTGAATTTCGCGATTTCTTTCAGACGAAAGAATTTGTATTTACCATTGACTGATGTTTCGTATGTCAGCACTCGAAATACTTACTATTATAAACTTCAACAATTGTAATCTGTCTCCTCTTTGAAACATAGTAGATACTAGATTTTAATTTTTGCTTATCTACACCTTCCTACCTTAAAAGATCAATAGACGGATCGAAGTTACTAAACCAGTATCTAGTAGAACAATATTTTTAAAAGTAATAGTTTTATCAAACTAAACATCAAAAAGTATTATTAAGTAGACTTATTCCATGGAAAATACGAAACTTAAACAAATATTAATTTTCCAAAGGAAGAAGATTTCCTACTTAATATCAATACACAATTGATGTTAAAACAATCCACAGCATACAAAAAATATACCCAAGTGTATATGCATAAAAATATAGAATATTAAGAATTTGTTTTACATATAGACTATACATAATGCAAACAATAAATACATAAATTATATATATATATCATAACACACGTACATGTTACAATAAAATTTGTACATATTTACTAGATATTTTATTAGTTTTCAATGTTCTAAGATATAATTAAATGAACCTAAATCAAGCACAATTTGTTTATGTTATTTTGGATACTTTATTTTATAATTTTCTCCATGGTTTTTGTATTCTTCATACTGTGGGAACGATTCATATCCCTTTTTTACTGTTGGCAAATTTGATGCTTCTAATCTAGCAGCTGAAAACTTTGCTTCTATTTTTGCAGCATTTTCTTTTTTAAGCATTGCCAATTGATAACTTTCTTTTAATTCTTTTTCTGTTGGAGGATCTTTTCTACGATTTCTTAACCATGCTTCCCATTCTGCAGGTATTTCTTGCTCATGATCATCTTTATTTACAGGAACAAAATATCGAGATGGCCTGTTAAAGGAATCAGTTTTATTTGACACTTCATAATACTTAGTACCATAGTAATCTTCTCCAATTAAACTTGATTTTTTAGATTTAGATGTTACAGATGCAACAAAATTTTTCCAGATTAATCGAAATAAACCACGTTCCCTTCCAGACATTTTGTACCTAAAAAATCAGATTAAAATAATAGTGAAACTTGCACGTTAGATGTAATCAATGATTGTATTTCTTTCATTAAATGACAAAAAGTATAAAACAATTGTTTAGGGTACTTACTTGTGTATGTTTAACTGTTAAAGTATATTATTACTGTTACTTTGGTCTAACATAAATTTATTTCACCATAATTAATTACTGACATTTATCATAAGAATCTTTTCTGACTTGTGTAATGTATCAAGGACATCAGTGCAATAATCTACAAATAAAGACATCTATATAGTTATTATAATACTACACCTATTCCATTGCTAATGTTATATTTTACTAACGTTGATTTACTAGATTCACTAAGAGAACAAGATTGCCGAATGATCAATTTTTGTTCATTCTACGCATGTCGGCTCTGATTGGTTCTACACTTCTGCTACTACTTGATAACTAGCAGTACCGCGCAAGCGTCCTCACGCCATTTTTAATGCCGAACATGTGTACTTAGCGGTCTTTTATTTTGATGTTTCCAATATAATCACTTCTTTTCTCCGTTCGTATATTTTATTCACTGTATATATCATTGATAAAATGGATAGCGAGTTATGGTGGGGTAAAACAAATAGGAAATCCTGTTGAGTTCAGTCGAGCTGCGCGAAACAATACAAGATCCCGTTCCTTCGTCATCATTATAGATGCATGCAACGGCGATACATAGAATACAGTAATTTTATCTATGTGGTATTGGTACTCTTGAGCTAATACGTTAAATAACTACCATTTCAATTATTGTAATTGTATAGTTAGGTTTCAAAAGATAATTCTGTCTTACAGGTAAACTATTGTAATGATTGAGTATCTTGTTTTATTGTCAATGTTATGTATACATTTATAAGCATTATTGAAATATAGACATGATGTTTTGAGGGCGAAATATGTACATATACAAAGTTACTTGCGCTATTGATATAGACGTACATATATATAGGTTTTTTCATATGTACATAGTTTAGTAATTCTGTTAATGTGTAAGTAACTGTCGTTTATTTAAAATTGTTTACTAAGATGTTTCTGCTTAAAATAAATATTTAAATGCCATAAAATTTAAAAAAAAATTCATCATTATTGCCACACGAGTAAAAAGTTATATTTCAGAAATTTTTACGTTGTTACAAAACATACATATCTTTATTTCGCGACAGCGTTTAATAAGATCATATATTTAAAAGGTTTCTGCAACAGCAACGGTATGTCATAAAATCAATTCTGTAACTTAATATAACAGATATTCGATTTTTAAATCTGTAAACTTTGTTTTGGCATATAAAACAATTGTATCGTACCTAACTATTATATTTAATTATGTATATTCAAATAAAAACTTGAGCAATAATGAAAATAAATTACAATGATGAATTTGAATTCAATTGTAGTATTTACAAAGTAGTAATAGTTATATTTTAAATTGCTGTCGGTAATTTACAGTTAGTAAAGATATGACATTTCAGAAAGTGGTTTTTTTTTTCAATGCATTTAAGATGCATTTATGAGTTAGTCTCTTGTATAGAATATAGGCACACTTGCCGATTGATTACGTCACTTCCAGGCGTGGTACGGTACAATGTGTGATGTACGTGTGTTACTGAAAATGGCCGTATACGTACGAGTCCGTCTAGTTTACTAATTTCATCAAACTTTTTACGTTTCTTTTAATATTTCAGAGTGATTGGTAAATTTGTTGATAATACGAATAACTGGTGAAATTGTGTAAAGGAAAGAATTTAATGGATTGTCGGTGGTTATAAACCGAGACGAAGTGTGCCCATTTCGTTAACGGTGGATCATTAAAAGAGAAGGTAAGCAGAGAATGTGTCTACAGATTTTTTTTCGAAAATCATGTTTCTTAAGAAAAGAAGCGATACAAAGTTCTTGTTTGAATGTTGATTCAGTGACGCATTTGTGTGACTACCTTGTATCGTTAAAAATAAAACATTGTTTCATGCTTTATCATGTCTTGAGTCAAAAGGAACACATCGGCTTTGGCAGGCCACAAACTACATTCATGACTTCACGAAATGATTTTTACAAGTGTATTAGCAATACGTATATATTTTGTCCTTTGTTGTGACTTTTTACCTTTAAATATACACATACTTCTTATGTGATTTTACTCTGATTAATTTTATCTTGGGTACAATTCCTATTCATAGAAGACGGGGAAAGTGTATTTACAAAACGATGGCGGACAGATACGGCTGTAGATTACTTGTCAAAATTATGTCAACCTCGTGATTGCCAAGTTTTGATATTTTAAGTAGATTTCTATACTACATTTTATTGTATAACGAATTTGTTTATACTGTTTTGTTTAAAGGATTGCAGATTTTATTTTTTAGTGAGAAGATGAATGAAATTTTTAATAATTTTTCACTTTTAAACAATACATACATACTTGTTCATTTAGTATTAAATACACTGTAATATTAAAAGTAAATATTATAATATAATAACACTACAGTTTATTACAAAATATATAGATAAAATAATAAAATGACATATTATGTAGGACACATAAGTTGTTATATCAGATATTATTTTAAAGTCATGTATACTTAGTAAAGAAAAGATTTCAAACTTATAATTTAATATGTAAGATCGCTTAGAAATAGGATTGTATATATCACTATTGTTACATATATTATATATATTACAAATATTTCTACACAATCTTTATATCATTATACTTATATTTTTAATATCTAATATTTTTATCTTAAGTATTTTATCTGTATCTGATATATTTTATTAAATGATAACTCTTATGTTGTTTAAGTTGCCCGTATATGTAATATATGTATATGTAACAATTATATTCTATTGTATTTAGTTCACCATACATAGTATTAAATATTATTTCCATGTATTAAAATATTGTAGATAATTTATTTAAGTTTTTGTTTATATTTTCCTTTATTACAGCTTTATTACGCTATAAGTGAAAATAGAAGACTTTTAATAATGGGCTTTGTTATTTACATGTACACTGCTATTTATTCAAACAAAATATCTATCAATTAGCGTGTACTGATTATCAATTATCAAGATGCGGGAGAGGTTTGGTATAATCCCCTGGTGTCGAACGGGGATTTAAACAAAATCTTTTACTTAGAATACTTTCTATTGTATTAGAAAATACGTTAAAATAATGGAAAATATGCGAGATCATAGTTAAAAGAGAAGATGATTTTATGCATCTTATAATTGTTTTGTGTAACAATCAATTATTTGATTACTGCATAAGATTTGTGTTTAAGTGCAGTATTAAAATAGATATTTGTTATTAATAATAAATACTATTGAGTCATATAACATAATGTAATAAAAGCATAGCTTTTATACACAAGAAAATATATATCGAATAAGTATTACAAAAATGTCATTCTTATCAAATCTAAAGAAAGCGTTCCACTTTGGTGGTAACGATGCAAAGAAAAAGAAGCTATATAATAATATCAAAATGGATTGTAACCCAGAAGAATTCTGGGAAATGGTGGGAGAACTGGGAGATGGTGCTTTTGGCAAAGTTTATAAGGTAATATTTAATACAAATTCTTAATTGTTTTAAAAAGATTGTTTGCTAATTGAATGTTATATTTTCCAGGCACAGCACAGACAAACTCATCAACTTGCTGCTGCAAAAATGTGTGCACTAGAGGGAGAAGATGATCTTAGTGATTTTATGATCGAAATAGATATTTTATCAGAATGTAAACATCCAAATGTCGTTGAATTACACGAAGCATATTTCATTGAGGGCAAGCTATGGGTACGTGTTTCATTGTATTATACGTATAAAATTAATGCTAATTTGTAATTATAATAAATTTGTAGATGTTAATAGAATATTGTGATGGTGGTGCTGTTGATTCCATAATGGTTGAATTACAAAAAGCTTTAACTGAACCACAAATAGCCTACATATGTCACCATATGACCAAAGGTCTTGCATTTTTACATAAATCTAAGGTTATTCACAGGGATTTAAAAGCAGGAAATGTTTTATTAACAATGGCTGGAGGAGTAAAATTAGGTAATTATTTTTAGATTTTAAAATAAGCTACATTGTATTTTAAAAGAAGATAAAATAATATGTTTTTAAATTTACAGCCGATTTTGGAGTGTCCGCAAAAAACAAACATACCTTACAAAAACATGATACATTTATTGGTACACCATATTGGATGGCCCCAGAAGTAGTATTATGCGAAACATTCAGAGATAATCCATACGATTTTAAAGTGAGTAGTGTATCTAAAAGCAATGAATTTTAGTTGCCATTTTGTATGATTTACAAACATAAAAATAATGTTCTTTTCTACATAGGTAGACATTTGGTCACTTGGTATAACTTTAATAGAATTTGCGCAAATGGAACCACCTAATCACGAAATGTCACCAATGCGTGTGCTTCTTAAAATACAAAAAAGTGATCCACCAAAGCTCGATCAACCTGGAAAGTGGAGCAAAGAATTTAACGATTTTATTGCTAAGGCTCTTATAAAGGATCCAACATCGCGACCTACGGCTGACGAATTGTTGAAACATCCATTCATAAATCGGAATTTGGATTCAAAACCAATTAGGGATTTGCTACTAGAATACAAAGCCGACGTTGTCGAAGAGGAACTGGTTGACGAAGAAGCAGAGGTAGACTACTTGTTTCGATTAATTATGATAATTATTATAGTAATTGCAATACTATCTTCTTGGGTTTTTAATTTCCGTCAATAAATAAGAAAATACATTTGTGGAATGTATAAAATAAATATAAAATGATGTATAAACGAACTATTTCAATTATGTACTCGAAAGTTATTATGAGTGTCAGAATATTACGAGAATTGCGCACTTCGTTATAATGTTTTTTATTCGAAGCAATGTATAAGGCTTTAAAAATAGAGTTAACACGTACCTACATTGTTACACGCTTTCATTTTGATAGAAGGCCAAAAAGGCGAAAAAACACAGAGAACTGTATCAGCGCATTGGTAAGCTGCTTTTGAATGAAATATGTAAATTGAATTGTATAATTTATTGATCGTTTTTAAACAACTGATCACTGAAAATCATTGATTTGTATTGAGAAAATTGGTAATGCTTATGATAAAGTACTTGTACAAGTCCCACGAATTATTTATGTATTTCATCCCATTATCATGAAACACACAATTAGACTATGTATTTATGCATGATAAATGTGTATATAATCTTAAGAAGATCCGCATGTGACACTTACTTCTAAATTACGCTTCCTTCCTTAATTTGCAAAGTTAACACATTAAGATTGTTTCCATTAAAAAAAAAATATTTACTTCAATTATTTATGTCGTACAACCAATTAATTTTGATTTGAAAGTTTTCGACAAAAATTTTCTTTTGTACTTCGATTATAATATTTAATCTAATGCCCTAATAAATATATTGTAATTTAAATAATTTGGCTGTGCATGCGGCTCTCCTGGGCCTCGCCAGCCCCATCATCCCTGCGTTTGTCAGGTCAGTAGCTTATGCAATAATTTGATTCTAATGTACCTTTTTTGATATATTACAATTTTTTGCTACGTTCCTTTTATTTTTACACCTGCAATGCATAAGCTATTTTCGACACATCAACACACATTTCAAATTTTTCTTACAGTTATGTTAAGTTGTATCAATTCTCATTACTTCATATCTGTGTCGAGAAACGTTTTCCTTATTTTATATAATCCTGAGGTTCGTCAAATTACATTCATCATAAGTAGTTGGGGAACATTTATTTTATCCGAATCTATATGTTGTAATTTATGAATTAGAATGTGTCAACAAAGTCATAGTTATAGTTAGTAAAATATAAATAATTATTTCAGGAGCAACGCACGTCACAGCTTCCACTGGAGCTAGATCAACTCGGAGATGACTCTGCGTCTATGCGCAGTGACGCTGATGTTAAGAGTATGTATTATGAACAAAAATATAATATTGTATGTTATTTTACACCTCTTTCCGGTTTCAGTTTCTGACAAAGAAAATCTTGTTGCATCGTCTGTGTCTGCCAAAAAAGAAGAAACCCATAAACGAGAAATGAACAGAGATGGCGAAAAAGATGACAGGAACAAGAAATTACGTAAAGCAGAATCTAAAGACAACATACCTATTTCTGTTGAAAAGAAACAAGTATTTATTTTGATGCTTTTATCTTTATCTATATTGTGAACGGTGATAACATTGAAATTTAATTTTTAGGCACCGAAACCACCTAGTACAAATGAAACAAATGAACGTAGAGTATCTCGGGAGAAAGGTCCTGCACCTCCTCCACCGCTTATGCGTCAAAATAGTAAAAGCGAAGACAAGGAAAATCATTTGAAAATTATCGATAAACCAAGCGATACAGAAACATTAGATGAATGTAAAATTACCGATAAACAGCGAGATAAAACTGAATTACTGCCGAGTCAAGAAACTCTAGACAGGAGGGAAGAAACGAACTTAGAAACGTTTTCCGAGAAACCAAACGTGACTGATAGTTTAGAAAAGACCACAACAGAGAATAATCAAAGGGAGAAGAATAATTTAGACAATGCTAAGAAGGTCGATGTTAGACAAAAGTCCATAGATGATAAAGTAAATTCATCTTTGAAGCCGCAGTTAACGCTAGAAGAGAAGAGGAAATCTGCACCGGTTAAATCCGAGGTGTCCGAAGATTGGATGAAACCAGTATTTAGTAAGCAATCATCTTTAGAAGAAAAGAATAGGTATTTTCATATTTATTTATTTGTATTACTCGGTCTGGAAATATCTTAAATTAACTTTTGCGCGAAACTAATTTCAGAATTGACATGAAAGCAGCGATCGACGAACGAACGGACAAACAGAGTTTACCGGAAGAGAACTATAAAAGCTTACAGGAAAAACGAAAATCCGTAGAGGAAAAGTTGAATGCCGTTTTAGAAAAACGATTTTCAATGGACACCGAAATGCGGTTGAGTGTTTCTTCCATGGAAATGTTACCGCACCGAGAAGTACCAAAGGCAACTTCGTCCGAGAAGAATATTATCAAAGCCTGTTCTACGGAAAATGTCAAAACCGATTATGGAACTTGTAAAACAGAAACTGTCGTTAAAAGTCATAGCGAAGGATCTTCCAGATACGACTCGCTGGAGAACTTCTCGGATGAATCCGATGGGAAACAAGACAAAAAGAAGTGGTTAAGCAAAGAACGTAGTTACGAGAACATTGCGAACAACGAGAGTCCGAATCGTGAAAAGAAAGGTTCGTCCGTGAACGTATCAGTGATTACATCGACGCCCATCAGGAGTAGAAGCACATCAAGAAGAGGAAGCGGCGATAACGTAGTTGTCATAACCGGTAAGAGATACAGTCAATGCTATTTTGAGAATTGTATATCCGCTCGTATGAATGTGTTGGCATTTAAAACTAGTAGTTACTAAGCGACTGACATCGCGTTATAAAATTTTTAGGTAAATCCGAGCAAGAAGTACGTCCAAATACATCAACCGTTCGGATCACAGCGGACAGTCCAGATTTATCTAATAGCTTAGCGAGTAACGTGAGTCAAGTAACAGTCGTAACGACGCATCCTCCGGTACTCGTCGATGCCGTGTCACCAGCACCTCTTTCGTGTCGTCCATCTCCAACTTCGGAAGTGGTGATCGTCGCGAACGAATTAAACAAGACGCAAGTGAACGAGAGTTCAACCGATGACGACGGATTTCCTAGTCTGGATAGTTTAGAGTACACGCCTCAGGAGCAGCCTATAATTCTTACCGACATCTCCAAGAGAGTCGGCAAGAAGTTGGACGAGTCCGAAGTTCTGATCGTGAGTCCAATCGTAGACGAATTACAGGATACTAGTCATGTTTCCGTCGTTACCGTTGGCGAAGACAAGGAACAAGTGAAAGATTCGTCGGTACTTAATACACACGATACTCTACGAACGTCTTCCACTCGCGTTGACGCGAACTCGATCGAAAGGTCGAGCACGAAAAGCGACAGTGGCGATGAAATTACTAAAATGATAGTCGCTGGAACGACTGTCGAATCCACGGACGCTGACGAGATGGAGAGAAACTCCAAGAAGATGAACGGTATGATAAAGAACGACAAGTCCTCCGTTGGTCGCATCGACGAGAAGACGATAAAAACGATGAAACAGAAGGAAGTCGCTAAAGGTTACAAGGAGAAGAGAGTATCTCCGGACAGTTTCGAGGGATCCAGATCTCACAGCGAGTCCGGCTCGACGAGGTCGCATACTCCGAGCAAGAGCATCGATCGTTCCGACGCCGAGTCTATTTCCACGACGATCAGTCAGGACAGCAGAGAATCCAGCAAAGAGAATCACTTGAATCAAAGTCAGCCCACGGAAGTGGAAGAGGAAGTGGTATTACGACGAAAGCCAGATTACAATCGCGACATACAGCGACCGACGAAAACAAAAGAGGACGTGGCTATGATGAATCTGAAGAAAAAGACGAGGAAACGAACCAGGAAGTTCGAGATCGATGGTGTGGTAGTCACCACGACGACTTCGAAGGTGATCTATGGCGACGACGAGAACGGCAAGGTGTACGACGATCAAATATTCAGGAAACAAGAGCTGCGAGAGTTGAAGATGTTACAAAAGATGGAGCAGAAGCAATTTCAAGATCTGTCGCAGAAGGCGCAGTTCAACAAGGATCAACAAGAGAAACGTTTCGAACAAGAAAGGCAGCTTCTCGAACGAAACGCCGAGACGGACTTGGAGAGCCTCGCTCGACAGCAGAGACAGCAGATCGAGCGAGCCGAGGCGCAACAGGAGGCTGATCTGAGGCTGGCTTCGAAGAAGATTCGCAGCGAGCAAGAAAGGGAACTGAAACTGTTCCGTGAAGGATTGAAGCAAGAATTGAGATTGCTCAAGCAAGAGGTGGATTTAATGCCAAAAGACAAGAGGAAAAGCGCGTTCAAGATACGTAAAGAGAAACTGGAGGCGGAACACGAGGAAAGGGAGAAGCACTTTTTGGACAAGCTCAACGAAAGTCACGAATTATCGTTGAGAAGATTGTCGGATAGTCATCGCGAGAAGATAGCGTTGATGGAAAGGCAGTTCTTACAGCAGAAGCAACAGCTGATGAGAGCTCGAGAGGCTGCCATCTGGGAGCAAGAAGAGCGACACATTCACGAGAAGCAACAACTGCTGAAGAAGCAGTTGAAGGATATTTTCTTCCTGCAGAGACACCAGATGTTGATACGTCACGAGAAGGAATTAGAACAAATGAAGAGGATGAATCAACGGAAAGAGGAGGAGCTGATCAAGCGACAGAACGTGGAGCGTCGAAACTTACCGAAAAGGATTCGCAACGAGATGAAGGCTCGCGAGATGATGTTCCGCGAGTCGATGAGAATCTCGATGTCGACGGTGATAGCGCCGGATCCCGACGCTGAGAGAGAGAAACTGAAGAAGTTCCAAGAGAACGAGAAGAAACGATACAGAGCGGAGCAGCAGAGATCCGAGTTGAAGCATTCGCGGCAGCTGGAGGAGGTAAGAGCGCAAAGCGAAGCGACTATTAAAGAATTGGAACAATTGCAGAACGAGAAACGAAAGATGCTGATGGAGCACGAAACGCTGAAGCTGAAGGAGCTGGAAGAGGCGTACGGCAAGGAGCTTCGCGAATGGAAGGCGCAACTCAAGCCTCGAAAGCAGGTAAACAGAGTCTACCTACTCTTTGCGTTTGCTTTTCACTTTGTATTGCAGTTTGACGCAATTTGTTTATTCTTTTTCTGTTTCTTATTTCTCGTTTCTCGTTTGTTTCTTTTTTTATCTTGTTTTTTATTTTGTTGCCATATTAAAGAATATTAAGAAAATAATGGCTGTATTACTTGTATACGAGTGGCTATTACTTTCTTAACACTCTACTTCACGCAACGGAGTTATTTCCAATAGTTTGTAGTATTTGCGTTGTCGATCACGTGTGCAGGTAATAGTTTCCTTATTACCAATGACCAATGACCAGAGCGAATAGTGATATCCATTGCGATTGTTAATTAAGAAAACGATGAAGGAAAGCACAGACGCAGTCATACTGAAATAAGATCTTAATGTACTTGTTATAGAAGTTAGAAGCTGAGCTGACGTCTGAAACGGAAGCATTGGAAGCTCGCTACCGCGACTATTTGCCCTCGCCTGTTAGTGGTCTCTCTTCTCCTCCTTTAGACTATTCTCTCTTTAATTTCGAATGCTGGAAGAAGTCGCCGCGTTTGCCACGTTCCACTCCTGCGTCTCCATCTCCGTTCACCATTCCAAGAGTGTCGCTGAGAGTCGGCAGTTCAGACACCAGTTCCGTCAATGGCATGTTTCCACGAAGTCACTCGAAACCGGACCTAGTGCCATCTCCTTCTCGTAGATAGTCTACTGTTGTGTCCCTCTCCAATCTTTCCAATCTCCCCCTCCTTTTTTTGTTTGTTTAAGCTTTGAAATAAAAAATAGTACACTGCTTTTCTCTCGAGAAAAGTGCTCGAAGATTTCTTTTTCCATGAACTTTTTTATTTCAAAGCTCTTGAATTGTGTTTTATGGCATTCAAGCGTAACATACCCGCTTTACTCACCGTAGCTTTTTCGTTATTTAGCCGTGTTTATTTTGTTAAATGCTCTGTATTGCATTCCCATACATGTGTATACATACATACATACATACATACATGTACACACGTTTAACGTATATTTTACGTAACCAACCAGTATATGTATCCTATATTGTTTTGGGTTCGCACGGAATAACACTTGAGACAGTAACAATATATTACAATAGGTAACCTGTTAATTTATAACATTCTACTAAGGATAGTCGCAACTTGGGAACAAAAATTTGGCAAGTATGTACACGTGTATATAAATATACCAGCTGTAAAGCAATAGGGGCTTATCCGTCGAATCGTGTATACAGTTTGTGAAACATTTCGAACTTTATCGTCGGAAACATGTGCACCGTTACAGTTACGATGTTGCAGGTTTATCCACGTCCACGTACATGTACAGAAGAGCGCTCGTAAAGTTTCCATCGAGGATGAAGCAACATAGGATCGTCTAATTGCAATCGTTTCAGAATCGGCTGTGTAAATAACGATATAAAGGGATGGCTGGTACGCAAAACATTATCGAATGATCATACGTAAATCCTAGGTTGCTTTCCGCCACCGATGCCACTTTACGTAGACTCTTTTGTTTAATCAGTTACTTTTCGTTCATTGTCTCGTCGATAACAACGCGTAATCATCGTGTCCCGACAACACCGGCTTCTTACTTAAACGATCAGGCGTAACAGGGTGAATCGGTGGTAATCGTGGGCTGTATGTTGTATACTTATCGAACATAGCGAAAAGTAATGGTAAATGCTTTGAACGCATCAGGGGTTTTTATTGTATAAATGTTTCCAATGTGTACGTTAGACCGTGTCCCCTTACGTGTTCTATTTCCCTATAAAATACCTAAGAAACTGTATGTCGGGAAAGAGATTCCACGACTGGATATCAGAACGATCTACTAGGTAATGAACCAGGTCAGTTGAATAAAAGGTCTGTTGATGCGAATATAAACAAATAGAGTAAAAGCGTTTAATTATTTTTAAATATGTACAAGATGTTTCGACAAACGTGTACACCGTGAAAGACTTTGTGGCAACAGAAACGGTATACGTGTTTCTTGAGACGCCCTGTATAATTCTATTCGATTTTTCGGGAAGAAATAACGTTTCATATTGTACGAATATCTGAAGTTTTGTAATTTTCGATTGCAGAAATTGGAAGAGCAGTTCGCTTTACAATTAGAGGAACAAGAAGCAATTTACGGGCCAAGCGCCATACCGCTGTGCTTGCCAGCAGATCTTCCAGATTTGACCCACCATACGGCTGGTTCGACTCGCAGTTCGCTTTCCTCGGTGAGCGAAGGTTAACTGGATTCGCTTCTTTCTTCAATGAACGAATCGAAAGCTAACTGGAAAATCGAGCTTCCAATGAGTACGGACATCGATGGATGACGAGCTCTGTATAGTGTCCCGATACCATAGTTGATAAGAGAGACGCAAATGGGACGTAATTGCTCCATCGAGCATGTTCGGTTGAAAGGATATTCCAATGGAACGATCATCGAATAGAATTTCCGTCTACAATTCGGTATAGCGTTAGCAAGTCCTACAAGCATACAAAAGTTTCGTCCACCTCGATGTACGAGGATTATTTCGTACGACAAGCACGAATCACTGTATACAAATGTAATTTCTGACGATCTTGTCGAAAATATACCTGGTACAATCTATAGAATCCGCCCGATGATCACATCCGAGAATTTGAAACAATCTCGTGGTTTTTCATACATATTGCTGTATCCGATAAGTAGACTTTTTTTCTACATATACACGCATGTATCAAATTAGAAATCGAATTCGAGGATAATTCACCGTTCAGTACGCATGTCTTGTTCAGCGTGCTGGTGGAATGCATTGGCGATACACTTGAGACACCTGTATCACGAAATCAAGGATTCAGAACTCGCAAGACCGAGCGAAAAATGTAACGAACGTGCGACGAATCAACCTTCAGAGCTTTTCCTTAAGACAGTTTCCACAGCGAATGACTTGTTTGCTTTCTAGCGACAGAACGTATCGTTACTTTTATATTCACAGATGCTATTCTACGATTATTTTTTATAACTCACAACGTACGTTCGCTAAGCAGAACTCACTCGGTATCTTGTAATCCTGTTTTTGCACATCTTGTATATACGGTTGTCCGAATACAACTTTATTGTTATTGAAGTATCAGCATTTGCGAGAATCTGGTAGATTGTAGCCGAAAGGAAACAGATGCAGGTACATCGTTCGAAATAGATCGAAACAGGAATTCTACTACCTGCGGTTTCCTTGTCTTCTCGTAATTAGGCTGTTTAACGAGTCATACCGTTTGTAAAGGAAATGCTAAATTGTCTTCGATAGATTGTTTTTTTTTATCGAGATACAAATATATATATTTTAGTAAATAAACGTTCAACATTACGAATCAAAGGTTTACGCCAAATATACATATATACAATGTATGGTTGCTTACCGCGCGTCTACATAGTCCGAAGGCGAAGCGCATTCGCGACGAGCACGTGTAACGCGAGTCGTTAGATGTAAAGAACCATATTTGTATAAAATTATAATCTTGTTTCTGTTTGTTCTTACCGTTGTACATTAAACTTTTGTATCTTTCTCTATTCTCGTCGATCTATCCGCCAGCGTGCTTAGAAACGAGATTTGTACATAGTACATAGAGGAAATCAGAACGAAGCGTTTCATATATTTTGAATAATCTACTCGATCTTACGAGAACAAAGGAGTCTATGAAAGTAGCTTCTCCTGTTTCTTTTGAAACGAAGCTTCCGTAACTCGAGGGAAATTTGACTATTTTACATTCAACTTTCGCTCGAGTTTCTTTTTGCGACCGGATTAGGAGGAATATTGTAGATCGTATTCGATGAGAAAGAAAAGTGGACGTTTGCCAAAGCGTATGTACATACATATATGTATATATAGATATTTATACAGGCTGTTTCATAACACGTTAACGATAGTCGATTCATGAATGAATTTGTACATTATCTTTCAAATTTTCTTATTTACCAAACGCTCATTACATCGTTCTTGTAATTAATTCTAATTTGTGATGTTCACGTAGATATCGGTCTATATAATCGAGTGAATGAATTCTAAAGAATGGCATCAATTATCGAGCATATTCTGTAGGATACTACATTTTGTTTCCCTCTTCGTCGATCGTTACATGCGCTATGAAACATACTGTGTATACATATATTCTTGAAACGTTAAGATTTCGAATATATAAAAAAGACGTACGAGACACGTAAAAGTCTTGATACTGCCGTTTAATCGAATTCGCGTTAGACATAATTGTTGAAAAACGCTCGTCGTGGCTCTTAGATCAAGACTCGGATATGAAGTAAAACCGAGCAGCACCGACGAGAAAGATTCGAGCATAAATTTCGATGGAATTTTACATAAATTTAACGAATCGTATTTTAGACGTTGAAACAGCATTGTATGCGCGAAATGTCCGCTGGAGACAGTTTTCACGATAACCTTATTACTGCAGTTTTAGCAAGTTGATCGCGTGCGTTACATATATTCGATCAAAGATATTTATACGATGAATAGAGCGTGAAGTGATGTAATATATAGCCGAGAGGAAGATACTTGTCGACGAATCGAATCGATCGTGTTACGATTCGTTCGAGTAGTCAACATTAGCATTATATATTATTACTTTTCTTTGTCTCTTGTTTTCGAGTATATCCTCCAATATTCTTAATCATTGTTCGTACAGTATTTAAACGCGAAACTGTTTTCTTTTTTGTTACGATAGTTTTCCATTTGTACCGATTGAGTTTCGTTTTCTCGCCCGTATGTTTATCGGCGAGCCTTATCTCGACGCGTAGGCGCATACTTATATATATGTATATGAAATATCAATAGACTGAGAGCGTATAAAAATGGAGAATCCAGAAATGAGATTATATCGTTGATCTGTTCGTTGGGATGAAATGTTTAAAGTTGATGATGTTCGTAGGAGTTTTTACGATTTTGATAAAGTAGCATTCGTAAAATGATATTAATGATTTTTCAAATTGAACTGTGCGAGGTGGTCCTTTCGTTCGCTGGTTTCAAACGGAACTGTTATTATCAGTCATTTGTTGGGAACCCAATCGAATTTTTGATCAGAAACATTTCCTGAGTGTAGAAAAGGAACCAGAGAATCGATCGTGTATTGTAAAGTTATTTTTCTGTGAAAACATAAAATAACAAAAAAATTCTCGTTTATGATTTGTAGAAAGCGTTTTTCCCTTTTTGTACCTTAATATGCGCGTTCGATCGATGTTGCGCAACAATGTACTTGTTTGTCTTAGATCGAGTTTATTTTACATAGGTATATTTATATTACGAGTTAAGAGTTAAATTGTTTTTCGATAAACGCTTCCGTTAATAATCTTTAAGAACAGATCGTTGTATTTTACGAATGAAAACTTGTTTTTACGAAAAACTTGCGAAACCGAATGAGTGGGAAACGCGCGGTTATTCAGAGCGCATCCAATTTATTAGAGAAACTTAATTATAAAAACGAAGTATAAAAAAATGAAAAATAGGTGATAAAACTGTTAATGATAATCGAAGATGTTAGCAGTGAAATCCATGCGTTTCCAGAGTCGAGGATGCTAGCACATAATTTTGTATATAATTGATAAAGAAATGAACGTTTGCCGGAATACGTTAAAATTTTCCTCGTCGGTGTTCCACGAAGGAACCCGAAAACGAACAGCTGCAAACGTAGGTTTCAACGGTTCTATATCATAAATTTTACTCATACATCTTCTTGTTTTGTCTCTTGAACGCTTCAGAATCGATGGCGAGGATATTCTTCGTGAAAATTCTTCTGGGAAGATACATTTTATAACGAAAGCCAAATTGATCGAGTTTTTAAAACACCGTCTACGTAGGATTAATATTCATACATGAAACGTTGATTGCAAATACGCAGATATTTTGCAATGAATTCCGTGCATTTTGTGTGGCGTGCAGTGGATAGCATTTACACTGTCATTCTGAATGTTGCCGTGGAAAAAGAGAGATAATTTTTTATACCGTAACTCTCGTTTGGTTGATGCGACGTCGACTGAGAATTATACATAGATATAGATATATGCCGCTGTAACATACTTTATATAATTAATTGCTCAGTACTAGCTATAAACTAAATTCAGTACCGATTATTAATATAGACCGTAAGGCTAATGTTACGATTATTTACATGGTAATGCTATCAAGAAATAATACAATAAATATTTTACTTCTACCATCGGTACCGATTATTTACAAGATCTCCATCGTTTGCGTCTGTAAATCTTCAGAATTTTATCAGCGATAATAATTATCATACCGTGTATGCTCACGCGCATACAGTAGGTAAATTGAGACGCTACCGAGTGTGATAAGCTTGTGGTTTATTTTTTCCGTTTTCCAACGAAATATCTTCCTCTTTTGTCTTTTTTCATCCTTCCAAAATTTCCTCATTTATTCATTCCACTGCATATAAAATGACAAGATAGCTAGGAAAAGACGTAGTTTCATTTACAAGAACCGCAACTATCTGACAGACAAGGGCATCGTTTAAATTTACAGTGAGTGGCGAGCAACGATTAATGATTTAAAGAAAGTTATTTTATACCTGCTTTATAAGTTAAACGCAGTTTTGTCAATAATGTATAGACCAAGTTCTTTCTTTCGTTCTCTTCGTTTCCGAACGTAAATATAGCTTTTTGAAAGTATTTCTACTTTGCGTAGGTTAAAATCCGAGCGTAAGAACTACGCACATTTGACATATATAGAATATATACATTTACATATATAAAACACTGTAAATAATTATATGGAAACATTTATGATTTGATGCGATAAAACTGACCTCTTAATATTTGTTATAATTCTAATATGAATGGATCTACTTTGCAAATTGTTGCAAAATTTGCTCTTCGATATCCACGCGCGGTACAAGTACATGCTTAGGACCGATTGTTTATTTCTCATTAATTTCCTTTAGTACTGTATCGACAAATTTCTACAATTGCTTGTTTCTTGAATAGATTATTTTATACATATTTATGCAGGTTACGTTCGAACGTCCAAATGAATGAGTCAAAGAAGAAACAAAAAGTGTGCGTAGTAGGCGCCGGCGCAGCGGGTCTCTGCGCAGCCAGGCACCTGGCGCGAAATTTGAACTTCGAAATGAAGGTGTACGAACAGACGAACGATGTCGGTGGTACGTGGGTGTACAAAAAAGTAACTGAAGTCGATGAAAACGGTTTGCCCGTTCACTCGAGCATGTATCGGGACCTCAGGTTCTAACGAATAGTTTAAAACCACAAATTATATTTCTTGTAATATGCAAAATAATTACATGTACTTTTATCGCAGAACTAATTTACCAGCGAAGATAATGAATTTCCCGGACTACGTAAAAATGAACGCCGAGGAACCTTGTTGCGTAACGCACCAAGAAGTCCGAACTTACTTAGAAAATTATGCGAAGAATTTTGATTTGCTCAAACACATTCAGGTAATTTCAAGGCAACTGCAAACTCTTAATTCACGTAGAATTATTTTTAATTCACGGAGAATTATTTTTCAGTTTGGTACCAGGGTAGAGTCCGTTCATTTAAAGGTTTCATCCGAAGGTAAAGACACGTGGGTTGTACGAGTAAGGAATATAAAAACGAAGGAAATCGAAGAAATTGTTTTCGACGCCATAATGATATGCAACGGGTACGTTCCTCCTTCTTCTTAAGACTATAATTTTAAGTCTTTTATTTCCGCAGACATTATTTCGACCCGTTTATGCCGCCCGTACCTGGCATCGACACTTCTCCAGGAGCCGTCGTACACAGCCACTCTTACAGAAAGCCGGAAGATTTTTCCGGAAAGACCGTGCTAATTTTAGGCGCCGGTGCTTCCGGAACCGACATAGCACTCGATTTGACAAATCACGCAACTCGGATATACCTCAGTCACAATAACGACAGGTATCCTCAAACTGTACCCTCAACCGTACTCTCAATTGTTACAATTTTTATTTTCCACAGGTTGACAAGCGTTCTACCTTCAAACATGATCGAAGTGACAGGAGTCGAAAGGATAGAAGGCGAGAAAATCTTCTTGAAAGATCAAACCTCCGTCACAGCAGACGTCTTCATGTTCTGCACCGGATACCGCTACAATTTCCCATTCCTGAACGAAAGCTGCGGCATAAAAGTGGACGGCAATTACGTGACTCCGCTGTATAAACATTTAATCAATATCGATCATCCGACGATGTGTATAGTTGGAATACCGACCATTGTTGTTCCATTTCCCATGTTTCACGCGCAAGTAACGATTATCGTATTTACTACGAGTGTATTTGTACTTGTAAGGACTATAACGTTGTTTAATGGAATATCGATTCTTCAGGTGCAATACTTCCTCGCGGTGTTGGAAAACGGGGCAAGTTTACCGGCTAGGTCGATCATGCTGGAGGACTCGAAGTTGAAGACCGCGAAAAAAAGCCATGCGCACAGATTAATGGACACACAATGGGAGTACAACGATTCGCTGGCGGATGCAGCTGGCTTTGATCGACTGCCAAAGTTTTACAAAATCGGTTACAGGATGTGGTCGAGCCAGAGGAAGGTGAACCTGGTGAACTACAAGCGGTCCAGGTTCGTGATATCCGAAGATGGGGAGGCGGTTGAATTCGCGATACCAAAGTAAATGTTGATTCGCAAGATAGGATACAAGAGGTGGTCAGAGAAAGGTGAACTATTTACAAGCGGTTCAGATATCTGAAGATGTGTAGACAGTTGAATTTGATACTAAAATAAAAATTGATTCGCAAGATCGGATACAAGAGGTGGTCAGAGAAAGGTGAACTATTTACAAGCGGTTCAGATATCTGAAGATGTGTAGACAGTTGAATTTGATACTAAAATAAAAATTGATTCGCAAGATCGGATACAAGAGGTGGTCAGAGAAAGGTGAACTATTTACAAGCGGTTCAGATATCTGAAGATGTGTAGACAGTTGAATTTGATACTAAAATAAAAATTGATTCGCAAGATCGGATACAAGAGGTGGTCAGAGAAAGGTGAACTATTTACAAGCGGTTCAGATATCTGAAGATGTGTAGACAGTTGAATTTGATACTAAAATAAAAATTGATTCGCAAGATCGGATACAAGAGGTGGTCAGAGAAAGGTGAACTATTTACAAGCGGTTCAGATATCTGAAGATGTGTAGACAGTTGAATTTGATACTAAAATAAAAATTGATTCGCAAGATCGGATACAAGAGGTGGTCAGAGAAAGGTGAACTATTTACAAGCGGTTCAGATATCTGAAGATGGGTAGACAGTTGAATTTGATACTAAAATAAAAATTGATTCGCAAGATCGGATACAAGAGGTGGTCAGAGAAAGGTGAACTATTTACAAGCGGTTCAGATATCTGAAGATGGGTAGACAGTTGAATTTGATACTAAAATAAAAATTGATTCGCAAGATCGGATACAAGAGGTGGTCAGAGGAAGGTGAACTACAAGCGGTTCAGATATCTGAAGATGTGTAGACAGTTGAATTTGATACTAAAATAAAAGTTGATTCGCAAAATTGGTTACAAGGGTTGGAATCAGAGGAAGGAAACTACAAGTGGTCCAGATATCTGAAGATGGGTAGACAGTTGAATTTGATACCAAAATAAAAGTTGATTCGCAAAATTGATTACAAGTGGTGGAGTCAGAGGAAGGAAACTACAAGCGGTTCAGATATTTGAAGATGTGTAGACAGTTGAATTTGATACCAAAATAAAAGTTGATTCGCAAAATTGATTACAAGTGGTGGAGTCAGAGGAAGGAAACTACAAGCGGTTCAGATATTTGAAGATGTGTAGACAGTTGAATTTGATACCAAAATAAAAGTTGATTCGCAAAATTGATTACAAGTGGTGGAGTCAGAGGAAGGAAACTACAAGCGGTTCAGATATTTGAAGATGTGTAGACAGTTGAATTTGATACCAAAATAAAAGTTGATTCGCAAAATTGATTACAAGTGGTGGAGTCAGAGGAAGGAAACTACAAGCAGTCCTCATATCCGAAGATGGGCAGACAGTTGAATTCGTGATACCAAAGTAAAAGTTGATTCGCAAAATCGATTACAAGAGCCAGAGGAAGGTGAACCTGGTAAACTACAAGTGGTCCAAAGTGAACCTGGCAAACTACAAGCGAAGATGGGCAGACAGTTGAATTCATAATACCAAAGTAAAAGTTGATTCGCAAAATCGGTTACAAGAGTCAGAGGAAGGTGAGCCTGGTAAACTACAAGTGGTCCAAAGTGAACCTGGCAAACTACATGCGAAGATGGGTAGGGAAGATGGGTAGTTCAATTTGATACAAAAATAAAAGCTTCCCAACTAGTTACCAGCGAAATAAAATTTTTATTGGTACATTTCAATTGCTAATTTTATGCTTGATCCAATCTATCAGACCGATCACGTCCGTGTATACACCAGGCGAGTAGGATTCCCCGCACCCGGAGCCCCAGGATGTTATTCCGATTATTGTATGATTGATGTTAACCAACGGCCCTCCGGAGTCACCCTGAAATATCACTAAGGTTACTCAAATTTTCAGTGACAACTGCTACGTCTTACCTTGCAGGAATCTTTCCCTCCTTGTTCGAATCCGTAGCACACCTGATACGGCGTCAGATCGTACCTGTCCTTGTATTCGTCCGCGCAGGTCTCCCACTTCACTTTCGGCACGATGACGTATTGGAGAGTGTTGGACAGTATGGGATCCCACTCCTAAAGTTTATCTTTATACATATAAAATTTTCTAAATAAAGACGTTTGTAATTTTCAAGATGTTATTCGATGTTAGTACGAGGAACTTTGACCGATTTTTCAGCCTAAGAATGAAATCAAAGTGGTCTCGCTAATAAACTTGACAGGTGTAAGCATTTATTGGTTTAATATTATTTGTAAGACCCGTTATATGTTTATTATAATTTCTTGAAGTGTGAATGGAGTGAAGTGCTGCAAGTGGGGACGAATGATCGTTGGAAATGTATGAATGCCGTTAATGTTTAACTGATTTGTTACCAGTCCTTTGAATCCTTGAATCGTAAAAGTGTTTTAAAACATTCAATAAAATATTTAAATATTGTCCCATTAAATAAATGTTTAAAGTAGTTGGAAGTGCTATACAGGCCATACAATACCCAATACCACTTAGGCCCTACATTTTGTACCCAGCTGTCTACAAAATATAGTTGAGGGATCTTACGATGAAGTAACCCCAGCCAGCGACCAAGCCCCACTTGGTATCCACGGACGCGCGGTTCTTCGGCAGCTTCACCGGTTTCGTGGTGTTGCTGAATTCGAACGGTGGATCTACCTTCAGAACCGCGATGTCGTACTCGTTGGTCGAGTCATTGTACTTTTCGTGGTAAATAAGCTGCGTGACGTTGTGCACGGTACCTCCAGAGTCGTACGTGTTGGACCCAGAACGGACGCTTATGGAATCGGTGGTGCCCACGAATCTGTGGGACATCCGAAAGGGTGGCTAAAACTCTAAATTGTTCTAAAGAAAAAAATTCGAAATTGATCTGAAGAAAAAAATTCGAAATTGATCAAAAGAAAAAAATTCTATTGATCAAAGGAAAATATTTGAAATTGATCAAAAGAAAAAAATTCTAAATTATTCTAAGGAAAAAAATTCTAAATTGTTCTAAAGAAAAAAATTCGAAATTGATCTAAAGAAAAAAATTCGAAATTGATCTAAAGAAAAAAATTCGAGATTTATCTAAAGAAAAAAATTCGAAATTGATCTAAAGAAAAAAATTCAAAATTTATCTAAAGAAAAAAATTCTATTGATCAAAAGAAAAGAATTCAAAATTTATCTAAAGAAAAAATTCGAAATTGATCTAAAGAAAAAAATTCTAAAATGATTGACGAAGATTATTGTAAATCTTGCTGAACAAGATTATTGTAAATCTCGCCCAACTGAACATATGCAAATAAAATTGATCGAAGTAAAGAAAGATCGCTTACGGAATGACGCAATGAGCAGCCGTTAGCCCCCATTCTTTATCGATAATAGCAGCGCCGCATGCGTGATTGCCGTCAACCATGTACGATAACTGCTCGAATAATTTCGTTAAACACGTAAATTATCTTGTTACATCATTCCAAACAGAAGCTAAGAAATAAAGATAAACTCGCCATGTACGGTACGTCGGTGATATTGATAGGAGCTCCATCGACGATGCGATCTTCCGAGGGTAGTTCCAGTCCGCTCGTTCCCACTGCGCACGTTTAAAAACGAGAGGGAGATAGAGGTTACAGATTCGTAATAAATACTCACCGAGGAGAAAAAGACAAACGAGGGGTAGTGGCATAGCGCACTTCCAAGCGACCGTTCCGCCGAACGAAGGCTGAGCGACTATCGCGGAATTTATGTACGCAAATGGTTCGAAAGTTATGGTAGAATTTAGTGTTAATTGTACGCTTTCGCGGCGTTATCTTTGACGAGTTAATCGTTGGAAAAATTTGCTTTTCGATAAAGAGGCGCGTGACTGACTCGCGTTGGCGAAGAACGGAAGAGAATTCGAGGGTTAATTCGCAAGTTTAAGAACGGAGCTTGAAAAAGATTCGTCTCTGAAACAATAGTTGGCAGTAGTCGAGGGATCGAAGCGTTTGGTTCGTCGGTTCGTTGGTCCGGCAGTTCGGCGGTCC